CTTCCCACTCCCTTTGATCGTGATGCCGGCATCTTCGGCGGGATTCGGCATTGTGGCAGGCGCCGCTGCGTCACCGCGCGCGGGATTGGCGGCCGCACCACTGCCCGACTTCCATCGGCCATATGGAGTGGCGGCGGGCGGCGGCTGGCTCTTGGCCGGCGCCCCAGCAGCCTCGGCTGGCCTGCCGTTCTGCGCGTGCATCGAATGCCTTGCGCCGTCCAGCAGCTCCTTCCTCGCTGCGGGCTTGGCCGTCTCCGTCCTGTCTCCAGCAGCAGCCGCAGCAGCACGGCCGGCGATACGGATGCCCAGCGGACCCTTCGGAGGTTCCTGTGCCTTTCGACTGTCGAGGGCCGACGGTGCCGGTGGACGCTCCGCCCGCTTCCACGCTGGCCCGCGAGCTTCTCCAGCGCCGCTCCTGTCCGCCGCTCGTGGCTTCTGCGGCGGCGGCTGCGGGTGCGGCCTCTCGACCCCCTTTGCCACCACCGACGCCGTCGATGCCTCAGATGCCGGCTTGGACGTCGAAGGGGACGCAAACTGGGCAGTCGATTTGGAGCTCGGTGTCGGCGGGATCGTGATGCCCCAGTCGTCGAGGTCGGGCAGGGTGTCGTCGATGTCGTCGTCGTCGGCGGCCCAGTCGATTCCAGACTCGGAACGGGGCACCGTCTTGCTGGAAGTGCTTTCGCTCTCGCTCACTTCCTTGACAGCGGAGGACTCAGCGAGGTCCGAGGAGGTCGTGACTTCGGTCGCGGTGCCAGCGGGCTCGACCTCGGCGGTCTTGCTGGAAGGCAGGTCCGTGCTGGGTGCAGGTGGTGTGCTGCCTCGCTGTTCCTCGGCTGAGGCGGGGGTCAGTTCGTTTGCCTCCGCCTTTGCGGGGTCGTGGATCGCGTCGCCTTCGGCGCTGGGAGTGATAGCCCGCCCATCGCTTGGGGCGGCCACGTCCGGTACAGCATCGCCGGGCGTGCCCGAGTCGGTTGGCGCGTCGGGCTCGGCATCCTTCGGGCCAGTCGCCAGGGCGGCTTCCGTTGAGTCGCCTCGCAGAGTTGGACTTGCCTCTTGAGCCTTTCCTGTGCTCTCTTCTGCGGCAAGCACGGGTGTCTTGGCTGGAGACACTTCCGAATGCTTCTGGTCGCTCGAGGTGGCGTCCGCGGCGTCGCGGCCTTTGGTCTCCTGACTCTGGCTAGATCGGCGGCCCCGCTTTCTCTCGGATGCATCACGCTTGCCCTTCTGCGAGCGCCCGGCGTCAGATGACGCTCCCTTGGAGGACCCGTCGTCGTAGCGCCCGTTCCTGTTGCTCGGCGACGACCTTGGCTTCGACCTGCGCGAGTTGTGCGAGGCCCTGTCGGCATCGTCCTCGACATCAGCATCGCCGTCCGAGTCATCCAGGGGCGAAGGCAGCGACGAGGGCGACAGGCGAGAGCTGGGCGATCGGGCACCGTCTCTGCTCCGAGGCGCGCCGAGTGCCGAGGGGGATGGCGACAGCCTGGTGGTGTCCTGTGCGCCCGATGTATCCAGCTGCGAGCGCGATGGCGACGGGGTCTTGGACTTGAAGCTGAGGGAAGGCGGAGGAGCTCTCTGAGATTGCGATGCCGACGGGGCGACTGTAGCGTCGTTCCGGTTCGAGCGCAGCTGGCCGTTGGCAGCCCTTCCGAAAGCGTCCTCCTCATCGTCGTCGTCGCCGCTCCACACCTCCTGCAACCCAAAGTGACCCGTGCCGTTGGGTTTGCCCCTCGACGAAGGCCGGGACGACAAGAGACTCGCACGCGGAGCCTCTGGACTGGATGCGACCGTGCCCCAGAAGCTGCCCGATCCGCGCTCGTTGCCGTCGGCACCGCCGTCGAACTGGGGCGAGTCGGCACCGAGCGCAGGGGTGGGTGGCACGATGTTGCCAAGCCAGCCATCGACGTCGGCATCGTTGCGCTCCTCTTTGCCGCCAAGCAGCTCGTCCTCGGCCTTTTCATCCAGGTTCTGCATGACCTCGATACCCTGCCCGAGCGAGAGCTGAAGTCCGTTGTGCCTGTGCCCAGGCTTCCTCCTGCCCGACGCGGCCGGAGACTCTCCATTTCGCCCGCTGCCCATGGCCGAGCTGAGCTTGTCGGCGGCGGCAGCGACGCCTGAAGTGCCCGACCGCGACTTTTTGGAAGCCGAAGAGGGCTGCGAAGATGGCTCTGGCGCCGTGCCGGAGGCAATCTTGGGGGCCCACATGCTCGCCTCCGTGCCCAGGCCGGTCCGAGCCTTTCTGAGTCGCTCCAGCATGGCCTCGATCTGTGACCCGGCGGTCGACGACGTAGTGGACCCTGCGGCCGATGCAGGCGCAGCACCTTCCGGCTTCATGGCGTTCGAGGGAGAGCCGTCGCTGCTCTGCGTGTAGGGCGCGGCTGGATCGTGGACCAAGCCCGCGCGGGTCTCTGGGCTACCGAGGTGGGCTAGCGGTATCGTGGGCTTGTGGGGCGTGAGGCCGAGACCCAGACCGCTCGCCCTCGCGGCGTCCTCGTCGTTGCGATGGGAATAGGCGTAGAGTGGGTGATGTGGCGTGGCGGGCGTCTGCGGGCCCCCTCTGTGCGACATCTTGAGCGGAGTCTCGGGCGGAGGGTGCGAGGCGCTCAGCGGGGTCTGAGCGCCACCAGGCGAAAGGGGCCCGTTGTTTCTCGCGGGGCTGGTCAGGGGCAGTGGAGAAGGGATCTTGGCGCCAGGACGCCGGATGCCGGGGGACGGCGTGGTGCGCAGCTGCCTGGGCTCGGTGGCTTTGGGAGGGGGCGTCGTCATCTCATCGATTCCCAGCCGTTCGAAGAGCGACTTTGGCTTTGACGAGGGCGACGGTGGCTGCACTCTCCTCTCGGGTGTCTCTGGCTGCTGCAGCGGCGTGGTGCTCGTCGATTGCTTCTTCCTGTCGGACGACGAGTTCGAGGGCGACGGCGTGGCCGGCTTGGCCGTGGCATAGATGCTCGCCGAGGACCCGCCGATCCAGCCATCCTCTTCGCTAAACTCCTTGGACGCCACGAGCGAAGCCTGCTTGCGGATCCTGGCCATGGGCTCGTCTCGCCGGAGAAGCTCGCCGGGCTTGAGACGGGGACCGGAGCCAACCTGGCCGCCTCGCGCCTGGAACTCTTCGAGGCTCGGGGGCGCCTTTACGGCGAGCGGGTTGAGGCGGGCGAGCTCGTCCCAGCTGATGTACTTGCCGCTGGACCTGTACGTGTTGCCCTTGCCCTTGACGCGATAGACGGTGGGGAACTCGATGCGGGGCGGAGGCGTGGGCGAGATCCTGGCTCCAGTCGAGTGCAGGTGGCCGGCCGAGACGTCTGCGGGCGAGTAAGTACGAAGATGGAAGGGGTCGGAGGACTCGCGGCAGGAAGGGTCAGCTGTGGCGGAACGCGGAACAGAGGCAGAGCGGCGTGATCTGCCGGGGCCGGACCTACCTCTGGACTCGAGCGGGGTCTGGCTCTGATCCCAGATGTGTTCGAGGAAGGCCTTTGAGCCCATGGACTCGTTGAACTCTACGTATTCGTCCTTGCCGACGATGAACATGGTGGTGAGGGACGTCATCGTGGCGATTGGGCCGGGCGGAGGGGCGGTTGACCGAGCTGTACCGAAGATCGAGTTGCCAAGCTTACAGACGAGGCGCGGGCGACGGCGTCGATGGACAGAAGCGGTGCAAGTTGCTGTGGCAGCGGGGGGCCGAGCAGAGGAGCGAGATTCTATGTCTGAGCGTGGAATGCTTGCATCTAAGGCGAAGGCGGGAGGCGAGGGGGGATGGCGCGGTGCGCACGGGCAGGTCGGCGTGGATGTTGGCAGGATGACGCGAGTGCAGCAGTCTATGAAGGTGCGACTTGCGTGATGAATCTGGAGCGTGGCGGCGGTAAGAATTTAGCGGTGTTGGACGAGCGGTATAGGTAGTAGCGCAGGAAGATATCTGTATGGTGCTGTAGATGATGGGCCGAGGGCAGGCGGATGGGGGTGATATGAAGCAGGGCGCGGGATGAGCTGGGCAGATGGCTGGCGAAGCAAGGACGATGCAGCGTGTATGGGGAGGAGCAAGGAAGAGCGAGGCCGAGTGCGAAGTGCGGGCAGTCCGGGGGGGGGGGACGGCTGTGATGGTGGTGGGTTGTGGTTGAGGATGAGGCGCGACTGTACGTGATGCTTTGGGCTGCAAGGGCCGGTGGGTCGGGCTGATGATCGTCGGTGCGTCCGAGGGCCCAAGCAAGGCAGGCGGACAGGCAAATGGTGGACAGGCAGCAGGCAAAGAGGGAGCAAGCAAGCAGCAAGGAGCCAAAGCTAAGGGCGGCGGATGATGGCGCTGCCTTCCGACCGACAGCGGACGGACGACCAAAAAGCGAAGCAAGGTGAATGAGAGCTGCAGGGCCTAGTTAGCCTGGCTGCTGCATCCAGCCAGGCGCAGGCAGCCAAGCCAAGCAGAGAGGCAGGCAAGCCAGCCAGCCAGCCAGCCAGCCAGCCAGACAGACAGCCAGGGCCAAGCAAGCACTCGAGGCCGAGGCGCAGCTGCCCCCCGCTCTGCCTGCTTTGGCCGCCCTATCCGGGGCCAGGCGGCGGGTCCAACGGCGGGTCCAACGGCGGGTCCAAGTTGGGGGGTCCAACCCTGTTCGGTTCCGGCTGACGTGGAAGCCGGCACAGGCAGGCGAGCCCCAGACCCAGACAAAGTGGAGGCGAGGTCGAGGTCGGGGTTGGGGTCGCTGCTCCTCTTCAACACCTGCACCCTTCGCCACCCACCACCAACTCGCCCGCCCTCTCCCATCGCCATGGACGACGACAACCCATGGACCGACCATGCTGCGTCACAACAGCCGGCGTATACGCAAGCACAACCACCGCAACCACCGCAACCACCACCGCAACCACAACCACCATCGCCACCACAACCAGGCACCACCCACGACGATGCCATCGACATCGACATCGACCCGGCCACCACCGCCATCCCAGACCCGCGCGTACACTCGACCGGCCTCGAGGGCAAGAACCAGATGCTCCTCCTCGTATTCATACACGGATTCAAAGGCAGCTCCGACACCACATTCGAAGACTTTCCCTCGCGCCTCGCCCACATGCTCGCAGAAACCTACCCGGGCCTCCAGGTCGAGCCCATCGTATACCCGACCTACGACACCCGCGGCAGCCTCTCGGCGGCGGTGGACGCGTTTGTCGAGTGGCTCACGGAGCGGTGCGTCAACCTCGAGTCGAAACCCGTCATCGACCCGGCCACGGGCGACTTCCAGCGCAACACCGGCCGCGGCGGCGGCATGGGCAGCGTCAAAGTCATCCTCGCAGGCCACTCGATGGGAGGCCTCATCGCCGTAGACGCCGCCCTAGCAATCGCACGCAGCACGGCAAGTCAGACGGCCGCCAACACCGAAAAGCCAGCCGCCCTCTGGCCCAGGGTCACGGGCGTCATCGCCTACGACACCCCCTACTACGGCGTCCACCCGGGCGTCTTCAAAAACGGCTTCAACAAGTATGCCGGCTACGTACAGACGGCCCAGACCCTCGGCACCTTCTTCGCCCCCATGGGCGTCGGCCTCGCCGCAAACTGGAACAACAAGCGCAACAACTCCGCGCCGAACGCATCCGGCACGCGCTCGGCATCGGCACCGGCGGGGGCTCAGCCCGATCCGGGCACGTCAAGGGGCGGCGGCGGCGCTGGCTGGAGAAACGCCCTGATTGCCACGGGCGCCGTGGCGCTCGCAGGAGGCGCAGCGGCGTCCTACTTCAACAAGGACAAGATCGGAGGGGCCTACGGCTGGGTGTCTGACCATCTGGCCTTTGTCGGCAACCTGTTTGACAACCAGGCGATGCGCAGACGGTGAGTCGACGCGGCGCCTTCCTTCTTTCCTGCCTGCCTGCCTGTCTGCCTGCCATCAAGGGAGGCAGTCTGTCTGACGTGCTCTTGTTTGCTCTCGCTGGGCCTCGCCGCGCCTTTAACAGCCTCGACGATCTAGTCTCGCAACCCCAGATCCTCTTCCACTGCTACTACACCCGCCTGCCGCCTCGGCGCATCGCCGGCACGCAGACGACGACGCCCGAGCGCACCTTTATCATCCTGCCACCTAGGGACGGCAAGAGCGCGGCCCTGTTCACGCCCATGGACAACGCAGTGAGTCCCGCGCATCCCCGTCCGCCTGGCTCGTTGCGTGGTCCCATTGCTGACTCGCATCACGACGACGACTTTGCAAATGCAGAAATCCGCCGACGAGGTGGATGCCCACATCTCGATGTTCAATGCCAAGAACAACCCGCTCTACTTTGACCTCGGCCTGCGTGAGTGGCGTGTTGCTGGCCCGGCATTGCTGGTCTTACGGAACAGCCGCTGACACTGCCGTCTTCGGTTTTCGTCGATCGTCTATATGCATTGCTCCCTTGCTCCGCGCAGGGTCGGCCAACCTGATCGCTCTGTGCCTGGAAAACGAGTCGGAGCGGGGCGACCAGGTCCAGTCGCAGCAGCAGTCGCGCGAGCCGGGCGTCGACGAGGAAGGAGGGCTGCGCTTTGGCGACGAAGAAATTGAGCGCATGCAGGCCGAAAACGAGGAAGAGGCGCGCAGGCGCGCTGATGCTGCGCGGTGGGTCTGATCTGCGCGGCTGGATGGCATTCTCGGTCGAGCTGGAGCTGGATTGATCGCCGGAGGACCGCACAAGTCGGTGGACCTGTAAAAAGATACCCTGGCCACCAAGTGGCTGCGCAACCACCACCGCCGCCCAGAGTAGGCGCAGCGCATCGCATCGCATCACTTTGCGTACGGCTTGCCCGACCCGCCCTGCCTGCGCAGGTGCTTGCCGATGGCGCCGCCCATTTTCGTCTTGTACGCCTCCTGGTCGAGCTTGGCGCTGATGGCGAGCATCTTGTCCTTCCTCGCGCCAATCGTGACGGCCTTGACCTCCTCGGTGGCCTTTTTGAGCCGGCAGGGCCGCGAGCCGATGTACTTGCCGTCCATCTCCTTCCACGCGCGCAGAAAGTCTTCCGGGTCGGCAAAGGCGACGAAGCCGTAGCCCCGGCCCTTTCCGTCCTTTTTGCGGACGACGCGCGCCTTTGAGAACGAGGGGTACTTTTCAAAGGCGGCCGAGAGCGTCTGGTCCGATACGTCGTTGCCGAGGTCGCCGACGAAGAGCCGCTTGTGGGCTGCAAGAAAAGGGGGGGGGAAAGGCGAAGTGGGGGGAAAGTCAGCGACGAGCGCCTGGGCGGACGAAGGAGGGCGGCCAGGGCTTACATGGGTCCCATTCGAGGAGCGTCTGGTCCTCCCACACTTTTCCTGCGCCCTTGCGGAGCACCGTCTCCCTGGTCTCGCCCTTTTTGAGCTTTCCCGGGATGATCCTGCCGTTCTCGTCTCTGATCGGTTCCTGCTTGCCCGCCTCGACCGTTTGCGGTGGTGCGTTTGGATCGACGGGGTAGGCGGGGCCGAAGATGGCGTTTGGATCCGCGCCGTACGCTGCGTTGGCGGCGTAGGGGTCGTAGGCTGCCTGTGTGGAGGCGGATGGCATGGCGTTGGGGTCGGCGTAGTCGGCGGGGTAGCCGTAGGCGGCGTAGTAGGAGTTGTAGTCGAATGCCCACTGGTTGGTGGTGGCGTCCCAAAAGTAGAAGGGGGCGTATGGGTCGGTCGAGGTTGACGCTGCCTGGGCGTCGCTGGATGGCCCTGGTGCGCTGCCGCTTGGGTAGGCTGGTGCGTATCCGGACATGGTGGAGGGGTGTGGCGCTGAGGCGAAGGGAGAGCGGCACACTGTCAGTGAGTGGTGGCGGTGGCGGTGATGGTGGCGGTGATGGTGGTGGTGGTGAAGAGGAGGAGGCCGAGGAAAGATGAAAGGTGGGCGCGCCGTTGTTTGATGCGTCTGCTGCGCCCTTTTTGGGTCGAGCCTCCACTCGACACCCCGCCTCATTCTGGCAACTTCGACCCGCAATCAACACCGGCGCCCCTTCCCTCCTCTCCTTCACTTTCACCATCACGACCCCGCTGCCATCACCACTCGCAACTCAACCCAGGCCATGGACGTAGACAAGCTCTTCAACGTGAGCAGGCGCCGATCCTCCTCGGCCATCATCAACCCTCGACCGCTGGCCCCATGCTGACCCGGCTTCTGACCCCCCACCCCCGTCCTCTCTGCAGCTTCCCAAGCTCTCATCTTCCTCGCTCAACAAGCGCAAATGGTCAGAGCCAACCGCAGAGGCGCTCAAGGCGGCAAAGACATCCTCGACCTCCACCGACGCATCCTCTGCCCTCCGTGATCGCGACGCAGACGGCCAACAGGAGCGACTCGAGCCCGCCGGCCCCTCTCGACCCCGTGCCACCGTCGCCGACGAGGGCGACGACGACAACGACCAAGACGCCGAATTCGCCCCCGGAAACGATGCAAACTACTTTGCAGAAGAGGACGATGAGGGCGGGCGCTTCTTTGGCGGCGGCCTGAGCGACCAGCAGAAGCGCATCCTCGAAATCATGAATCGCGGCGCAGACGACGACGAGCAGAGGACACTGGTCAGTCCTCTTGCCCCGGCCCCCGAGCTCGCGCGAGTGCGACACTGCCGCTGATGCAAGGGCTCTCCTCCATCCCCGCTTCCATGCATCGCACAGAAACCGGAAGTGGAATTGGCCAACACGAGAAAGCAGCTGCTGCGCTTCGAGCGCGCCATCAACAAGAACCAGGAGATGCGCGTCAGGTTCTCGGACGACCCGACAAAGTGAGTCGAGCCATCCTCGCGCGCAACGTATGCCCCATCGAGAGGCATGCTGATGCTGTGCCTGCCGTCACCGCTCCCGACAGATTCATCGACTCTGAGGCAGACCTCGACGCCGAGCTCAAGGGCCTCGTCATCCTCACGACCAACCCGGGCCTCTTCTACCCGGAGCTTGTTAAGATCGGCTCGGTAACGAGCATGTGCGGCCTGCTGAGCCACGAAAACGTCGACATCTCTGCGGCCGCCATTGAGCTGATCGAGGAGCTGACCGACGACGACGTCCTGGATGCGGGCGAGGAGCTGCGCGACGACGACGACGACGACGACGAGCACGAGCACGAGGCCCGCGCCGGAGCCGAGCGAAAGGGGCAGGAGGGCATGCGGGTGCTGGTCGACTCGCTCGTCGACAACCAGGTGCTGGACCTGCTCGTCGCCAACCTGGCCCGCTTCAACGACGGCCCCACCTCTTCGGATGCCAACCGCGAAGAGGTCGAGGGCGACATGCAGGGCGTCTACCACACGCTCGGGGTCCTCGAGAACCTGGTCTCGTTCCGGCCGGAGCTGTCGGCGCAGCTCGTCCAGAAGACCGACTACCTCAAATGGACGCTGGACCGGATCAGTCGAAAGGGCCCCTACGACCAGAACAAGGGGTACGCCGGCGAGCTGCTTGCCATTGTCATGCAGAGCAACGAGGAGAACCGCGAAAAGCTGGGCCAGATGGACGGCATCGACACGCTCCTGTCGGTCCTTTCCGTGAGTGCCTCTGCGCCGTGCACGAGGGCGACCATTAGAGTTCTCGTCCATGGCTGACTTGACTCCACTGCCCCACCCCTTTCGACCTGCCCCCATTTGGCCGATGCCGGCACAGCAATACCGCAAGCGGGACCCGGCCGACGACGACGAGACGGAGCTGATGGAGAACCTGTTCGACGCGCTGTGCTCGTGCCTGTCGACGACGGCCAACAAGCGGCGGTTCCTCGAGGGCGAGGGCGTCGAGCTGATGGTCATCATCATGAAGGAGAAGAAGCTGGCGCGCCTCCGCTCCATCAAGGTGCTCGACCACGCCCTCCAGGGCGCCGCGGGCGCCGACAACTGCGAGCGCTTCGTCGAGTGCCTCGGCCTCAAGACGCTCTTCAGCGCGTTCATGGGCAAGGTGCGTCGGTCGTGGCAGATCGCGTCGGTGAATTCTGCAGCGTCCTCGCTCGTCGACGGCTGACGAATGCTGGCTTGCGTCCCACCCTTCTTTCGTCGACGTTTGTCTGCGTAGGGCTCCAAAAAATCCAGCGCCTCGTCACCAACGACCGAGGATACGGAGCACATCCTCTCGCTCCTCTCGTCGCTCTTTACCAACCTCGCCTCGGACTCGGCGCACCGGATCCGGCTGCTGTCCAAGTTTGTCGAGGACTCGTACGCCCAGACGGACCGGCTGCTCGAGCTGCGCGAGACGTTCCTCGCGCGCCTCGAACACGTCGAGGCCGCCATTGCCGACGAGAAGCGGCAGCTGCGCGACGACGAGGGCGTCGAGATCGGCGACGACGAGGAGGAGGTGTTCTACCTCCGTCGCCTTGAGAGCGGGCTGTTTTGCCTCCAGCTCGTCGACTATGCCGTGGCGTGGCTGTGCATGGAGGATGACGGTGTAAGTGCGCGCGCGCGCCCCGTCGCTCAGGCGTCGGTTGTCGTCGGTCGTCGTGCTTGTCGTGCAGAGAAGCTCACACGCACTTTTCCTTCCTGCCGCCCTCGCCCTCGCCCTCGCCCTGGCTCGCGCTCTCACCTCTCTGTCATTCCTTGGGTCTGGGCACGACGGCCAAACAGGTGCAGGCGCACATCAAGATGATGCTCTCGCGAAAGGGAGCCGGGTTGCAGGACGTCGTGGCCGTTCTCAGAGGTAGGCGCCCTTCCCCCCCTTCCGGTCCCCGACCTCGTCCCCACTCCGCATCCCGCTCACACGTGCACACATTCCGCCCCTCGCGCCTTTGCCGCCCTTGACAGAGTACCACGCCAACATCGGCGACGACCCGCCACCAAAGCAGGGACAGGACGAGCCCCAAGAAGGCGAAATCAGGATCAAGGATATCCTCGTCGCCCTCATTTCCTTCCTCGAGGGCTGCTTCTAGCCCGTCCATAGACAGTCCCGCGTCCCCTCTCCTCGACAGGGCACTCCGCATCACAGCGCTGAACGACAGACGAGGAGCACAACGACTGAGGGTTAGTCTTCCATTATCCGATCCGGACCGAAAAGAGTGGCTGGTCGCTAAATACGAGGCACGCGGCGCCGAGACGGCGGACAAAGGGAGCGAGGGAGCAGAGCAGAATAAGAGAAGCGCAGGAGGTGGACGATACGGTGACGATCGGGGCAAGGGAAGGCGGGTGAGGATCCGGCCCGACACGAGCAGGAGGAGGAGGAAGGGGTGCGCAGCAGGGCCACAGTGTTGCCGCTGCCGCTGCTGCCGCCTCTGCTCCACCGCCGCCGCCGCCAACTACGACACGCGCACGACAATGGCGCCCGGCTCGTCGTCGAGGCTGCGCGACGGGTTAGGGTCAAAGGCGCGCGGCGCATCGCCAAACGGCAGCACGCTGCGGAGGCGCGGGCAGATGTCGCCCTTTTCGGCGGCGAGCTTGACGGCCTCGAGGGCCTGGCGGCAGTCTTCGCCCGAGTCGGCCCCGACCCACTCGTAGCCCAGGTTTTTCTTGTCCTTTTTGAAGAAGGCGCGGCGCAGGCTGCGCAGGTGCGACTTGAGGTTGGGGTTGGCCGTCGTGTGCTCGTCGCCGAAGCACGTGGTGAACTGGCCCTCGAAGGCCAGGATGCGGCGCGAGGCGTCGTAGATGCGCCGGCCGCCGATGGTGTCGACGACCAGGTCGAAGCTCGACTCGTGGAGCGAGTTGATGGCCCACAGCGGCTCGCCGACGACGACCTCGTGGGCGCCGTTGGCCTGGCACACGGCGACGCCGTCCGACACCGAGGGCGGGCACTGGGCGACGATGATGAGGCCCAGCCCGACGGCCTCCTGCATCGTCAGCAGGCCGATGGCGTCGTGGGCGTTGAGGATGAGGACGCGCGCGCCGCGCGGCAGCTGGGCGCAGTGGTTGTGCAGGATCTGGAAGGCCGTCACGCCCGCCGAGGGCAGCGCGGCAATCTGCTCCGTCGTCAGGCAGTCCTTGGGCGCGTGGCAGACGAGGTTGGCGTCGATCGTCATGAACTCGGCCAGCGCCCCCGACTTGCGGCTGTCCTGCAGCCCAAAGACGATGTCGCCCTTGCGCATCTTCTTGACCTCGTAGCCGCACTCGACGACGCGCCCGCAGAAGCTGCGCCCGGGCACAAAGCCAAACGCGTGCTCGCTCCGCACCCGCTCGCGCAGCAGCAGCCGGTCCATTTCGTCGATGGCCACCGCAATCACCTGCACCAGCACCTGCGTCGACGACACCTTGCGCGGCGGCGGCGTGTGCGCCGTCAGCGAGAGCGTCGTCTGGCTCAGCTCGTCCTGCAGGTGCTCCGGCACGTCGAGCGAGGTGCGCTTGTCGGACCCCGCCTCGCCGCCCTGCTGCTTGCGCCGCGCGACCGACTTGCTCCGGTTCAGGAACGCGCCGCTCGACACCGCGATCGTCTGCATCGTCGTACGCGTGTTGAGCAGCTCGTCGGCGGTGCCGCTGAATCGCCCGGCGTCCTTGTTCGGCCGGTAGCTGGTCGGCACCGTCTGCATCGTGCTCGGCAGGCTGGCGACCGACTGCGAGGCCGAGGGGCTCGAGTTGAACGAAGCCACCGAGCCGTTGACGCCGCTGGCGAACGGAGCCGTCGTCGACGCCTCCGGGCTGGCCACGCGGGCCGGGTCATCCGGCGACATTCGTGCCCGGGCCACGGGCGGCTGCAGGTACGTGTTGGTGGGCGCACCGAGGGGCGCGGTGCGGACGACGGCAGGCGATGAGGCGGCGCTGATGACCGAATTGGGCCGCGAGACGGTCGATGCGGGGAGCGGAGGGAACCTCGACGGGAGATGCGTGACCGAAGGCATCGGCGACAGCGAGCGCGCTTCGGCATCCTCGGGAACCTGGCTCTCCCACTCGTTGATGGCGCTCATCAGCGAGTTCCTCCGCACCTCCGACACCATGGGCGTCGGCGCAGGCGAGGGTCCCGGCGAGAGGGCGCGCATCTTGCGAGCGTACGGCGACAGCTCGTGGTTGACGTACGAGTACTCGGGCCGTGGGCTGCTGCGGACGGAAGCCGAGTGGACGCTCGAAGACACCCACGAGGCGTTGGAACGCGCAGATTGGCTGGGCACGTGGCTGGGCGCTGGCGAGTTCGAACCGGCCTCGGACGCGCCCGAAGACGATGCCTCGCGGCTCATGGCCTCGGAGCTGGGTGTGAACCTCGAGGCAGAGCTGCTGACGGGCGACGAGGAATGGAACGCCTCGGGGATCCGCGGGACCGGGGGCGCGTCGGCCATGATCTTGGTCATCGACGAGGACGGGGAGATCGCCCCAGGAACTGCGGAGGACTTGCCATGCTTCCTCGAATGCGACTTGGAACTTGGCGTCGCGGCCACAGGCGCCGCAGGAACGGCCGCCATCATCACCGGCTCAGGTTCGGGGATCGCCGGGAGAACGTCGCGGGTCGCGCTGGCGGCGGGCATCGTCTGCAAAGCCGATGCTCGCTTCTTGCTCGGCTTCCTCGGCGACTCGCTGCGAGACGATCCGGCCATGGGGATGTCGAGGGGAGGCAGAGCATGGTTACCCTTGCGGTCTGCCGACGAGGCGACCTTGGTGGCAATGAGGCCCGGCGGCAAGCTGAGGCCTTTGCCGTGGTACTCCTGCCACTGCTGCTTCTTCTTGGTCGCGACGGACTTGGATCGGGTCAGCGAGTCGGCCGCGCCCTGTCCAGACTTGCCGCCCTCGGCAGAGGCGCGCGAGGCGGCCTTCTGGCTCGAGGAGCGGGAGATGAGAGCTGGCCTGCGCGGCTGAGCCTCCATCGGGTCGTCCTCCAGGATTGTCGGCGTGGTCGGGGCCTGTGCGCCCACAAACGACATTCTGTTATCGGCGGCCGGTGGCGTGGGTGGGATGAGGTTGATGCCGAGCCTGGGCGGGTTGCCCGTGGGCGTCTTGTCGTCGTTGGCCAGATGGACGACGTCGGCGGGCGTGGGTCGGGGCGGCATCGGCAGGTGCCTGTCCAGACCGCTGAGGCCTCCGTCCTCGCCCCGACTACCGTCGCGATCGTGCTTGGTTATCAGCTCCGAGCCGGCCGGCGTGGTCTGAGCGGTGCTGGGCGTGCTGACCTCGGAGGAAGACACGGCCACAGCTCCGACGTCGTCCTGGCTGTCCGAGGCGACAGATTCGTCAACCTCGATGTGCGGCACCTCGCTCGCAGGCGCAAGTCCGGCGTCATCGGCCTCACCCGCGCCAGGCGCGACCTTCTTGCCGACAATATCCCCTCCGGTTTCGACGGCCGCATCAATCTGGGAGTCCTTTTTGAACTCGTCCGGCTGCACGCTGAAGCCCGACAGGGAGAAGGACGAGAAACCATCCATCGCCTTCATCTGCATGGAAAGCCTCCTTTGCGCATCCGACGGAGAAGGAAGCTCAGCTGTCGACGAGAAGGGCAGGCATGCCAGAGGAAGGGACGCATCAGCCAACAATTGCTCTCTCCGGCCTCTGCGTTTGGCGACACACTCACGTTCAGGGGAGTCGACCCTCGCCATGGCGGCCAGGTCCTTGGCCGTGTGGAACTTTTGCGGAGGCGACACGGCGGTCGACGCCTGGCTGATATCGGCCATGCTCTGGTCCGGCGTCTCAAAGTTGGCCACCGACTCGGAAGCACGCACGCCGGCGTCGGGCACCGACTTCTTGACTTCGGTGCCGTCGGCCCGAGGAGCAGCGGGTTCGACGTCGGTGTCGCGCTGCGGCCGCTTACCGAGCGCCTTTTCGGACAGGACCGCAACCTCGGCGTCCGCGACGCCGGACGAAACGCCTTCCGGGCTGCTGACCTCGGCCGGCACCCCTGGGCCCGCAGCCGACATGTCAACAGAAGCGTTGCTTCGCATATCGGACGCAGTGTCGTGCGATCGCTCGCTGGCCATCGACGATCGGGGCTGCGAGTCTACAGACTTGCGGCTCTTGTCCTTGCTGTCCCGCTTGCTCTTTGACTTGCCGCCGAGCGAGAACGTCGTGCTGCGTTCGCTGCTGATCGACGCCCGGCGCGACTTTTCGCGCTCCTTTTCCCTCTTGCGTTCTGCCTTTTCCGCCTTGGCCTCGGGCGAACGGAGCGGCAGCGAAAAGAGGGTGTCGGCGAGCGACTTTGAGTGGCGCAGGTTCTTCATTGCGGACTTTGCCGGTGGAGGCTTGTCCTTGCTCGCCACGCCGCCCGCGACGACAACAGACGGCTTGGTCTGCTCCGCCTGCGGCGGCCTGGTGGTCGCACTGCTGTAGATGCTCGAAGACGAGGACAGCGAGGCGGGCAGCGTGCTCCTGGTGTCCTCGGGCGGCGGCGCTGGAGCCTCGGGATAGAGCTTGCCCTCCGAGATCTTCAGCCCGCCCATCTCGTCGGGCCGAGCAGGCCGCTTCTGCCGGGGCCTGTTGAGCACCGAGACCTCGGGCTTGGGCGGGTCAGAGGCAGCAAAGAGGCTCGCGTACTTGCTGGCCGACGATTCGGGATACTTTGGGATCGCGTGGAGGGAAGTCGAAGCGGGCATCGAAGAGCCGCCCGCAGCGGGCGGATCGTCGACCTTGGCCTTCGAGGCGGCAGCATCCGGGTCCACTTCGTCGGTTTGATTTAGCAGCCAGACGGCGGCAAAGCTCGGCGCCAGGCCACCAGCTGAGCTGGCGCGAGTCTTGCCATCCTCTTCCTGGCCGGTCTCAGCGCGGCGCTGGCGCACCTCGTTGATCGTGTCCTGAGCTTCTGCAATCTTTTTGCTGCGAATCGATGCGTTATCAGACCGGCGGATCGAGGCCGCCCTGCCGTCGGAACCTAGCCGGTTGACGGTGGTGTCGGACCAGTTCATCCGATCGAAACGGTCAAGGAGGCCGGTCAACGAAGGGCCAAAGAAGTCGTCGCCAACCTTCATCGTTCTGAGGCGTTCCTGCTCGGCCATGGCGCGCGCTTTGAGGTCGCCGTCGTCGTCGGACAGGTCGGCGGGAGAGTCCGAGTCGTCGTCGCCCATCTTGATCCTCCGGGACGACGGCCTGCTGCGTCCGCCGACGATGCCGCTCAGCGCAAAGGTCGTGCCGAGACTGATGTCGCTGAGGCGCCTGGATAGCGTCCCGGGCCTGGACGACCGCGAGGAACGCACGCTGAGTGGCCGCTGCGACGACATTGACCTCGCCGCGGACGAAGCCGAGTCGCTACCCGCATCGTCCTCGCCATCCTTATTTGAGATGTCGGCCGCAGCGCCATCATCCGCGCCAACTTCGGTGGCTTCGTTTGGCTCGTCATCCTCGTCGCTCCCATCGAAGGTGACACCCTTGGCGGTGGGGGTGCTGCGACCGCTCTTTGCCGATCGGTAGTCGGACGCCGACGACTGGCGTGTGACCATAGGGGGTCGAGCGGCCACCAATCCGAGCGAGTTGGTTGCGAGATCCGCATCCGACGGCTCATTCTCGTCCCTGACCCTTTCTGACGGCTTCTCGGTGGTCTGCGGCATCGCGATGCCGCCATCCTTGGCGGGAGGCAGAGGCGCATCCTCCTCGGCATCACTCTCACTGTCGCTCTCGACCCTGAGCTGCTCGACCTTGGCGGTCTTGTCGTCCTTGTCGTCCTTGATAATTGCGGCTGCGGCCGGGGGCAACGACGAAAGCGTCAGCTCTGGCTCCGGGCCGGGCTGCTTGAAAAGCGGAGACTCGGCCTGGCTCTCGCTGGCGGCGGAGCTGGCGTCTGGAGAGGGCGATCGCGCCCTCGAGATGGCGATGCTGGGCGTGATGTCGGTGGAGGGCAACTCGACCTCTTGGGTCATGTTGCTACCGGATCGGTGGTGCCGCAGCACCGCATCGTACTCGGTGTAGCGCCGCGTCGTCGACTTGCCCCGAACCGACTGGAGGTTCTTCATCTCGTGGTTGCGGTTGTGCCCGTTGCTGGATGTCTCTTCGTCCTCCTCGGCCACAACGTCGAGGGTTTGGTTCGCCAGGATCTCGTCCTCGTCCGAAGAGCTCTCTTCCGTCTCCGGCTCGGATTCTGACTCCGCCTCTAACCCGTTGCTCGCACCGGGGACTGGAGGCGCGAACGCCGTCTGCGCCTGCGTCGAGGATGGCGCGGCCGCAGGGAAAGGTGCCGCCGTGTAGTCTTCGATGGGTGCAGGCACCGCCCGGACGGCGGGAACGGCCAGGGGGATCGGAGCTGCAGCCACGTAGCCCAGCGGAGGCGAGGCCGCGGTCGCTACGACGGGCGATCGAGGAGGCGAGGCGAACTCGCTGCTGAGTCGGTGGCTGAGCGCGGGGCTGACGAGCTCGCCGGGCTGCAGATTGGTAGGCATGTTTGGCGGCAGCGGCGGCGGCTCGCCAATGACCTGCGAGGCCGCCCTGGCCAGGAGGTCTTGCCGGCCCACGCCCGGGTCGCGCTGGAGCTGCTCGTACTGAGCGTCCTGGTTGAGCTCCTTTTGCACCCTCGCCACGACGCTCTTGCGCTTCTCGACGCGGGCTTGCGACTTGGCGGTGGTGCCGGCGGGCGATGCGGGCGCCAGCTTCGGCATCGAGTCCCACGTCTTTGCCACCTCGGTGCCGGCCATGCTGTCCACGAAGCTCTTCCAGTCCTGGGAGCCGGTGGTGCTCTTGGTCCGTCCGATCCTTCCGATCGAGCCCACCGGGCTGGTCGGGCGTGCGGCCGGGTCGACGGGTGCGGCGCTGCCTCGACCGAGGGAGCTACGGGACCCCTGCCGTATGAGCGAAGGCGGCTGCTGGCCCAGCGGAGCGACGCCCGACGGTGTGCGCATGTTGCTGACCGAGACGCCGGATGGCAACGACGGCAGCGGCGGCGGCGCCGACCGTGCAGAATTGAACCGCGATCGCGTGTAGGCATCGCCGTAGTCGCTGCGCGTACCCCGCGGCGGAGCGACCGAGGAGCCGATGCCGGCGAAGCTGGGCATGGCCGGAGGGGCTTCAGGCTCGGAAAAGACGCTGCCAGCCACGCTGGGAGCTCTCGACGCCGATCTGCCCAGCTTGAGGCTGCCTGCCTCCCACCACCGGCCCTTCTTTGGCGAGTAGGTGGCGTTGCTCTCGGCATAGGGCGCGATGCTGCTGGCGCCGTCGTTGAAGACGCTGCCGTTGGAGATTGACGGCCTGCGGTCCTTTTTGCGGAAGCGGCTGAAGCGGCTGGTGGTGCTCATGCCAGAGACCGAGGGCGCGTTGCTGGCCCCTCCGCCCGTCTGACCGAGGCCGCCCTTGCCGCCGGCCCCGCCGCTCTTAAACATGGACCCGGAGAGAATCGACTGCGGTCTACCCGGAGCATTCGGAAGGTCCGGCGGGGCGCTCCATCCTGCTCGGTTCGAGCCGGACTTTGCCGAAGAGGAAGGCGGGGGTTCCGCATAGCTCTGCGATGGCCTCTTAAGGATGGTATCGATGAAGGTGTGCTTCGGCATGGCTGGAGAGTTGCCTACGCTCGCCGGCTAGGCACCAGGTTGCCGAGGTTGTTTCGGGGTCGAGGCTCGAGTGCTCGGTCGCGGGGGGGCAGGTGCTAACGGGATCAGCACGACATCTGGTCGCCGCGGGGTATCGATTGGAGAGACGATTCGAGACTGAAATCGATTGTTCCGATATGTGTACTACGAAGCAGTATGGTTGGCGGCGGGCTGTCCGATGACTGTGGCTGTGTGGAGACCCTTCGGATGGATCCGAGCGGAGCGACGGGCCGAGGCTCAACTTCGACTAGAGGACGGCCGACACGAGGGTCGCGGATGGGCAGGTACCGGTGGTGATGACGGCGGCGGTGGTGGTGGTGGTGTTGATGGTGGTGAGGAAGATGAGGACGATGGCGGTGCGAGCAGTCGACAGACGAGCAAGGATGACGAGAGCCCGCTGCTAGAAGGAGGAACGGGCGCTGTTAGAGCTCGCCGATTCGATGTTGCCTGCCCCATCGCGAAGTCAGCCAGCGCAGCCGGGCAAGCCCCAGGCAGAAGAGGACCGGCAGTTAGGGGGGAATGCCTCGCACAGGCATCCGCATCCAACCCTGGCTGGCCCCGCTGCAAGGATCGCTCGCAGCGGGCCCACTCACCCGCCCCCAAGCCTGCCTCTCCTCTCGAACGGCGCTCTGCTTCCCTGGCTCACGGCACATCGCAGCCGATCTCTTTCTTGGCTTTCCTCGGCGCTCGTCCAGACGGCGATAGGGCTTGGCTGTATACGATGTGCGCAAGGCAGGCGCGGCGGTGAGCAGCAGCGGCAAAGCTACCTTGGGCTCGTGGGCACGAGGGAGCCCCCTGAGGCGGCCCCTCTTTGCTCCCGGGCTCGACCAAGCAGGCGGATCCAAAGAACGAGAGAGTCGGCTCGCCGTGCGCGCCCTGCAGCGGAGCAACGAGCAAGCAAGCAGCAAGCAAGCAAGCAAGCAAGCGGGCGAGCAACCAACCGCGCTACCGGCGTTTGCTTCCTTCGCCCTGCTGCGCTGCCTGAGTTCGTGCGCAAAGGCAAACCTCGCGCGTTACGTCCCTTTGCACACAGCACGTACAAGACCTACACGCTTCGATCTGGCGGCAAACGAGGCTCGCGGAGGTCAAACCACCTCACCACTTTCCGCGCCCGTCTACGCCCTCCCTCCCTCCCTCAACAGGACCTGGGAGCGTAACCCATCGCCCGCGGACCTACACATCATCCGATCTGCGGACCTCTGGTCAGAGGTGTTCAGCAGCAAGAAATGAAGGCCAGGCAGCGGCACCATTGTCTTTGTCCACGACATCGACGGGAGCATCGTACACCTCTTTGCGGGAGCCGGATAGCGCAGGCTTGCTCTGCGACCTTAGACGGCACGCCAGCTGCCGACCTGCCGTTCTTTTGGGCTGCACGATCCAGGGTGCCCACCCGAAGATCGGCGTCGCATGCGTGAGCGCACCCTCCTGGCTACTACTACTGCCAACTTCGTCTGCTGCTTGTCGGCTGCTTCTGTCCTCGATTGGCGCACCCCAGGACCCTGGTCCTCGACAACGACGACCAGGTGGGGACGGAGCACGGCGAAGCTGCCACCGCTGTCGTCGTCGTCGTCGTCGTCGTCGTCGTCGTGTCCTACGTGTCGTGCGCCAGCATCGTATCGATTGCCATCCGAAGGCTCGCTTCAGCCGACTCGCTTCGCCGGACCTCTGAGCTTGACGATCCGGGGCAGCTCTTCAGCTCTCCTGCTCGACCGGACGTGAGCACCCCAGAGCGGTGGAGCGATGTCGGAGGACCCTTGATTCACAGAGACGGATCCTCCCTCCGTCCTCGTCGATGCTCTTCGTCGCCGGCCTCGAGGCTGTTCAGCGAGGAAGGCCCCATCCGGCGCGCGAAGACGAAGGCCAAGCAGGCGGCGAACGTCGAGGGCGATGGAACCCTATACGCGCAATGATGCAACGTGCATGAAAGGCCGCGGTCGAACAAGCAGAAAGCTGCCAGCTCGCCCTGCCTCGAGCTCCGCCAGCGCGCAGCTCCGCAAGCACCTCGAAACCTCCGGGACCCTTGCCGGAGGCCTTCGTCTTCCTTTTTCGGCCACAGAAGTCGGCTCGTGAGCCGAACGGCGAAACCCGATCAAAGCAAGGTCGCGCGCGACCCTGACCCGGCCATCGAGCTTCCATCCGTAGTCTTGCCGCAGCAGCAGCAGCAGCGAGGCCCGCATCAGACGGCGTTACAACTTCAGCCTGAGTTTTCAAGTCCTCTTCGCAAAGGTGCCGCCGAGTGGCCTTCGGCTGCGCAAGTCGCGCACAATTGCAACCTCAGAGACCGGGCCTGCCTTTTCACCTGGACCCGCCGGACGCCATCAAGACGACGATGAGTACAGTAGACACCTCCATCGAGATGACCACTCTCCTCGCTGTTCAAGATGAGGCCTCAACAGCGATCCTTCCTCGGGTACAATTCGGCTTGTCGTCCATTGTGACTGCGCGGCGCGGCGCCGTTCTGCCTCTGCGCAGCGCCAAGTCCATGAAGCGCGGCCGAGGTGGGCGTCGGACGGCTCCGGGCCGATAGGAGGACTATCCCACGTCGCCAACGGTCGTCGATCCGGTCGTTCAGCACCGCCTCAAAGTGCAATCCCCTTGGTCCTCGCTGGACAGAACGGCCTCGACGAGGTCCGTGACAGCTCGACGCGGCGCAGCGCCGCACCTGTCACCAAGCTAATCACCCACGACGCGAACCCAGCACGCCTCGACACGGGCCTCTTCGCTTCGCAAAAGGGGGCACAATGGCCAGCTCAGCTCGTCAGCTGGCGGACCACAGACTATTCTCCAAGCAGCTGGATGATAAGAACTCGAAGTCGCTTTGCGGGCCCCTAAAAGGCTGTCGAGGTCCACGCCTTGCCCGCCACCTATCTCTTTGCCTCCCACTCTCCCGCCCTTGGTCTGCTCGACCAACCTCTCCGCAGCGATATTTCGACGAGATGGCGCCGCTCCGCCACATCGCCACCGCCGCTTTGTCGGTACGACTCCGCAGCCGGTTCACGAGGACGCTACGGAGCCACGCTCGCTCGTTTTCCTCTGCCGCACACCGCCGGGCGATGCACCAAGAGATGGACGCGCCTCACTACCACGGCGACATGATCGACCTCTCGCACATCAAGCTGTTCAAGGTCGGGCCTCGACCTGCCGACGACACCACCTCCAGCGGCGACTCGGGCTGGCCGCGCAAGCCGTGGCTCAACTCGTCGAGGCGGGTCGGGCGCAGCATACGGGCGACCCGGCTGCAGCACGAGTTCCGCGACGGCCTGCGCCGCGCGCACTACCACAAGGCCAGTCGCAAGCTCCGCGTCCGCCCTCCGGCGGCTGGGCGTGTCATCGAGGCGGCAGTGCGCGAAGAGATCATCAAGAGCGCCGTCAAGCTGCTGCATCGCCTGGACCGTCGAAGGCGCAGGGCGGACTGGGAGGAGCAACGACAGCTCCGGGCAAGCCTGCAGGCGGAAAAACGGGACAAAGCAAGCCTTCAGGCGGTGAAGACGCGCCAGGACCGACTGATCCTGCAACTGAACCGTCAGCTCGAGGCAGAGCGCCGTCAGAACCAGCAAAAGGACCGTCAGCTTCGGCGACTGAGAATGGTTCGGCTCCAGACGGCCAGCGTCGTCGATCCTTCTGCCGTTCCCCGCATCGAGCCGTGGCGCTGGCTGTCCGAGGCCGGCCGTCAACTCTGGCTCGTGGCCAAACGCAGCGTAGTCAACCAGCTGACTGCGATGCAGCGCCAGTCCGACCTCGTCCGGCTCTACACGCAGCAGACCCTCGTCAATCACCGCGCCGCGCTGCGAGAACTGCCGCACCGCCTTGACCAGAGGCTGCAGTCGATGGTCTACCCGGACACGACGCTGCCGCCTGCCGAACGGGCCTTGGACGTCATCTACCCCAGCGGCGTCTTTGCGGGCGGCTTCCTCGTCGTCTCCACCAGATGGCCCGCGTACTGGGCAGCCGTCAGGCATTGGTCCGACCTGTCCGAGGTCATCTGCGCCGCCCCCTTCATCGCCCTGACCGTATGGGGCTTTCCCAAGCTGATCCGCAGCTTCCTCGTCCCCAGTCCAGCCCCGCCACAAACACACAGCATCACAGGCGTAACAGAAGATCCTCAATCGCTCCAGCGATCCTCGAAAGACCAGGTCGAAAGTGCCAGGCACATTGCTGAATAGTAAACTTGTAGTCTAAGGCCGTCCTCCTTTCCTTCCTCGTCGTTATGGCAAAAGAAGAGAACGCAAAAAGCATGTATTCCCGGCCGGGGAATCGAACCCCGATCTGAACAGCACCGTCCACATCCTCGGAGGGAGAGAAGCGCAGGTGAGAGTGTCCTATACTGACCATTGTACTAACCAGGAGTGGCCGCGAGCGAATGGATGAAAACTGTGGCATAAAATGCATATATAAACACACTCTAATAGATGCGTAAACGCGAGCAGGGTTGCTGGCGGAAATTCGTCAAGAGGGTCGCGGCCACGCACCAGAGGCTGCACTGACGTCTTGACAACAACGGGCTTGTTGTTTCTGCCTGACTGATGTCAAGGTCTTCAGCTTTTCTCCTCAGGCCTTGAAGACAGGGTGAGCTGTTGTGTTGTCATTTTGTGCCAAACTGCAACAGTCACCCTGTGCATTTGTGGTGCTGAGATGGCCAGGGAGCAAGGTGATGCAGCAGCTAGGGAGCAGGATGCTGATGCAGCAGTCTGGGAGCAAGATGCTGAGGCAGCTTGATAAATTGCAGGGGAGCTGGTGATGATGCCAATATGGGCAGATTGTCAACTATGCTGCAACACAGATGGTCCCTGCCTACTGCAACAACATCAAAGCACATGTTTGCTTCTGTTGCTCCTACTGCTCATGCTGCTCTTGCTGCCCTTGCTGCTCCAGTCATTGAAGCCCCTTGGCAACCTGCTCTTGCTCCAAGATCTCTGCAACACAGAAGATCACATCGATGTGCCGCGTGGGGTTGGCCTTGATGTCGTAGTACCAGGACCCCATCTTGAAATTGGGCTCGTCCCCATAGGCTTGACGTACATCTCGGATGACAGCAAGACATGCTTGCAGTTGAGCGTCATTGGTTCGGGGCAGGACGTTGCGCCCAAGCCTGTGCTTGAAACGGCCGACGCGCCGGTGCTCGCCCTCCTCAAATGCCGTGAGGTCGATCTTGCTCTTGATGAGCTTCTTGATGTGGCTGCCAAAGTGGTTTTTGATATTTGTGATGTATGCAATTAACATCTCTGTTGAGATGTAGTCCGCGATTGAGCCGGGATTGGCATCAAACCGGACCCTCTGGAGCCCCGTCAATGCCAGGTACGGGCCTACATGCCTGTCGAGAACGGCCAGGTCCTTGGCACACTGTGCACGCCCATGCCTTTCTCTAATCACCCGCCGCCGTGTGGTGAGCGCCAGCCACAGCTCCTTGAAGAAAGCCTTCCTCAAGGGCAGGGCCACCACAGATTGTCCATGACCTCATCAGGCAGGGATGAACCTGGATGCATTCAGCATTATCTGGCTTGGGTGCAAATCATGCACCAGGTGCACAGCCAGCACCAGATGACTGCTGCTTCAGAGCCAGGCATGTTGGCCTACCAAGTTTTGGCTAGGTACGATGTGAAGAGTCTCTGCCATCAGTGAAGTGAGTCTCTTCCATGAGTGAAGTAAGTCTCTTCCATGAGTGAAGTGAGTCTCTTCCATGAGTGAAGTGAGTCTCTTCCATGAGCGAAGTGAGTCTCTTCCATGAGTGAAGCAAGTTTTTGAAAACAGGTACTGCAACATCAACTCTTGCAACAAGGCCAGTAGTGATGCAAGTTCCTTGGACGTGTGCTTCAGCCTCTCGCCTCGCTCAACGGCTCATGCTCAGTCACGCTGCTATTATATGCGCAACTCGAGCTGTTGCTTCATCAATTCGCTTGCGGCCACTCCTGGTTAGTACAATGGTCAGTATAGGACACTCTCACCTGTGCTTCTCTCCCTCTGAGGAGGATGGCGGATGGTGCTGTTCAGATCGGGGTTCGATTCCCCGGCCGGGAATCTTCTTTTTGCACCCTTTTAGCGTTTCAGCATGTGAGCTCCGAGGGGAACGATGTGCCTTTTTGAGCACGGGGAGGGGGGGAGAAGCAGCGCTGCTGCTAGACAGGAGAGGCAGGTGGGATTGATACACGTTAGGTGCGGTTGCAAGCGTCTATCCCGCGCCGCAGTCGGGTGGCCCGTCGACGACACCTAGCCGTGAAACCAAGAAGAGCCGGCATTCCCTCGAGCTGCGGCATGGGACAAAAAGACGCTGCGACCTCTGGCAGAGCGGTGACCAGCCCCGCTTTCCTTCAGGTCGGCCACCGTCGAGCTCGGCGACGATATTAAGTGGAAGGCCGGAACATTGCGCTGAAGCTCTACGTCCACCTCAGCGGCCCGCGACCGTGCTTGGATGTAGTGCGCTGTATCGACGTATGCATTGCAGACAAGATAGCATGACGGGACGGAGGGGTCGAACTCAGTTGGACTTGAGGGTGCGCTGCTTTTCCGCGGCCTCGACGATGCGTTGCGTGACAAACATTCCCTGTTTCATGATCGATCGCAGAGGGGGGGTGGGGGCCAAGCGACGCGAACATCGGATCAGCAATCGAACCTCGCCTTCCCGGACCTCCAATCCACCATCTCCAGGCCCGGCACCACACGCCGACTCACCTTGCGCTTACGGACGCCGTCCATGTAGCGTTTCGCGACATTCTCGCGGTCACCCTTTTCGCCGAGGTCCTCGAGCTCCTCCTCGGTGCGCGGCACCCAGTACGGGTCGAGGTCAAACATCTCGAAGCCCTTGAAGATGAGCTGCGGGCTGGCGGCGCCCGAGGTGCGCTTGCGGATCTCGTCGGCAAAGCCAAACGACTCGACGACGGGTAGCAGCGACCCGACGGTGAAGAACGACGTGCCTTCCTTCATCTCCTCGGAGATGATGCGGCCGCGCCGCCGCGAGAGGACGGCGTGGACCTTGCCCAGCACCTCGGCTAGCCGGGAGGAGGTGAAAAGGGTTTCGGAAGATAAGGGTCAGCGGGTATGAGGCCGGACATGGGCCAACCAGCACGCCCGGCACTCACTCGATGCCTGGATGTCGCACGAGTACATGGCGAGCATGAGGCGCGGCGACCAGTCGAGCAGGCCGTTGCGGCAGACCTCGCGCACGGCCGAAATCATCGAGCCTGCCACCTGCGACAGCCTCGCTCGAGCTGGCAAGGCGTTATCGGGTTGGAGAACACGGTGTCAGCAGAGATCGCACGCTGGCCGCACCTGCCGCCACCGCCACTGGCCGCACTCACCGCCCTCCTTGGACACCTCCTCCTTGTCGATCTCGACGGCCTCGACGAAAAAGGCCATGCCCTGCATCGGCTCGGCGCACATGGGCCCGGCGTTGGTGGCCATCTGGAAGCCGGCGTCGATCGACTCGTTCATGTCGGTCGAGTTGATGGGGATCTTGGCGTCGCCCGGCTGGTCCTCGAGCGTGGCGGCGTCGAGCGCCTGCGCCAGCGTCTCGGCGGCGCTCTTGTCGGCCGACGACGCCGCCTGCGCTGCCCGATGGGCCGAAGGCGTGGCGATGCCCGAAGCCGGTCGGCTGTCCTTGAGGCGGTGGGGATCGGTGCGGTCCCGCAGGCTGCAAAAGGGCGCAGAGAAAGAGTCAGTCAATCGATCAATCGGCCAGCCCCGCTTGGGGTCACTGCCTCGCCGCCGCCGGCCACTCACTGCAGCGCGGCCGCCCCGCCGACGTTGGTCCTGTCGATGAGCAGGTTCGGGCCTACGCGCCTCGGGCCAAAGCTCCAGATCCGCTCGACAATCTCCCTCCAGTCCTCGCCCGTCTTGTCCTGGCCGCACTTGCGCAGCACGTCCTCCAGCGCGGCCCAGAAGCGGTCGACCTTGACCGTCTTGGACGCCGACGAGCCGGCGGCGTCGATCGACGCACCGCCCTCGACGTCGGCGGCCTCGGCCTCGATGGCCAGCGCCGACGTCCGCGACTGGAGCCGCCGGATGGTCTGGTCGTTGGCGAGCAGGAACTCGACCACGGGCTTGGGCAGCGGGACTGCGCGCACGCGGAACGACACCAGCCCGTTGGCCACCGAGCCGTCGATGGTGCCGCGCGCCGCGCCCTCGGTCTTGGGCGGGGGCATCTCGATGCCGCGGACCGCCGTCTCCCGGAACGGCACGAGCGGCGGCGAGACCTGGATCTCGCACTTGGCGAAGCGCTCGCGCAGGTCCTTGAGGCACCGCTCGAGGTGCAGCTCGCCGGCGGTGAGGATGACGTGCTCGCCCGAGTCCTGGATGAGGCTCTCGACGCAGGGGTCGGCCTGGTTGAGCAGCTTGAGGCCCTCGACGAGCTTGGGCATGTCCGAAGGGTTGGCCGGCTCGAGCGCGACGCGGACAATGGGCGCCGAGAGCAGGTTGATGCCGGCGAGGTTGACAAACGTCGAGCGGGCCATCTTGGCGTCGATCTCGTCGGCCGACTGGCGCTCCTCGAAGGGGTAGTCCTGCGACAGCGGCGGCGCGCACAGCGTGGCGTTCCTCAGCACCTTGCCCTCGAGGCCGCGGACGGCAAACACATTGCCCGCCGGCACCTCGCTGACCGCCAGCAGGTCGCGCCCCATCATCATGTAGAGCGACTCGAGCTTCACCGCCCGGACGTGCTTGCTGTTGGCCGGGTGCGACGGCGGCAGCGCGGCATTGTACTTGGGCAGCACCGCGTAGACCCAGGATCCGGCACGCAGCGTGCCCGAGTATAGCCTCGCGAAGCCGAGCACGACCTCGTCCGAGCCTTCCTCCTCGGCCTGCTTGGCCGCCGCCGCCTCCTCCTCCTCGCGGCGCTGCTGTTGTTCGCGGATGCGCTCGGCCCGCCTCGCCCCGGCCTCCTCGAGGCTGGTGCCGCTGCTGGGCTCGGCGGAAGCAGGCGCGTCGCCGTTCTGCTCCCCGTCGGCGCCGTCGATGGTCGCTCCCGTGGCGGCGAGGGCGGCCCGCACCGCGCTCGCCTTTTCCCGGCTCTCTTTTGCGCGCTGGCGCATCTCGTCGGCGGTGAGGGGCGTCCGCTTGCCCTCTGGCAGGTCCTCTTTCTTGACGGCAAACATCTTGCTGACGTAGGCGACGGTGTGGGCGTCGCTGCCCGTGGCCGCCTGCATCAGGTCCGACTCGAGCGGCGTCTTGGCCACATAGTTGCCGCGGTCAAAGTAGTTCATGTCCGGGTTGAGCATCATCGGCACGCGCTTCTGCTGCGCCTTGGACGTAGGCGGGATGACGTAGACGATGGCGGCAAACGCGCAGCCGGCGAGCGGCAGCCACTGGCCGAAGATGGCCTTGATGAGCGTCGCCGGGTCCTTGCTCTTGAGGTCGCGAGGGTGGATCTTCAGGCTGAGACTGTTGACGATCTTTTCGATGCGCTCCTGGTCGCGGTTCTCGACAACGCTGTCGTAGACCGCCCAGATGTTTTCCAGGACGAACTGGACAAACATGGGCTTGAGCGGCCGCTTCTCCTTTTCCTTTTGGCGGTGGCCGATGACGCGCTTGGCCTTGGGGTCGAAGTAGAAGTCGCCCCAGAGCACCTTGCGCAGCTTCTGCTCCTGGATGCCCATCTTTTTGGCGTAGAGCATGGCGAAGCGCTCCAGGCGGAAGGCCCAGTTGTCCATGGCCGAGGCAAAGATGACGTTGCCCTTGGCCGGGTCAAAATAGATGTCCTCGTCGTCGCGCTCCTCGTAGTGCTCGTCATCGTCGACGGCGGCTCCGGCGGCGGCGGCATCGCCCTCGCTGGCCGTCTGGTCGTTTTTGGCCAGCCTCCGCTCCTCGATGCGCTTCTCGCGCTCCTCATGCCAGCGCTGGTCGTCGTCCATGCGTGCGGTGGCAAAGAAGCTGCCCATGACGGCGTTGACCTGCTCGATGACCTGAATGAGGTGGTGGTAGGCCTCGTAGGGCGACAGCTTGAGCTCGGTGATGAGGCGGTCCATCTTGTTGAGGACGAGGATGGGCTCGAGGCCGTCCTGCCACGCCTGGCGCAGCACGGTGATGGTCTGGGCGCACACGCCCTCGACGACGTCGACGATGAGCAGCGCGCCGTCGCAGAGGCGGGACGCGGTCGACACCTCGCTGGAAAAGTCGACGTGCCCGGGGGTATCGACGAGGTTGATCATAAAGTCCTCCACGGGGGGCAGGTTTTCCGGGTCCCAGCCTTGCTTTGGATCGTGGAAGCGCATCTTAACCGAGAGGGAGACGGCGGACGCCTCCATCGTGATGCCCCGCTCCTGCTCGTCTTCTCTCGAGTCTAGGTAGCGGATCTGGCCGGCCATCCTGGCCGAGATGATGTTGTTGGCGGCGAGGAGCGAGTCTGCAAACGACGATTTGCCGTGGTCGACGTGGCCGATGAGGGTGCAGCAGCGCACATTGTGCGAGGTGAACTTCTTCGACGAGGACGCCATGGCCGCGGTAGGGGAGCGTATGGCAGGGCGGGAGGGCGGTTGGGGGAGAGGGTCGAGAAGGGGCGACAAAGGCCCGGCAGCTGGCGGCGGCGTCTAGGAGGGCCGCAAAGGTCTTGAAGGGCTTAAGCTGCTGCCGTCGTAGCACTGATGATGGTGGCGGTGGTGTTGCCCGTTGGTGACGGCGAGAGGATGGGCCGACCGGTTTTGAGTTGGAGGAAGGAGGAAGAAGAAGAAGGAGGAGGAGGAGGAGGAGGAGGGGAGGCTGAGTCGAGCGAAACGAGCGAGCCAACGAGGTGTGGAGGGCGGCGCAGCCAACCACCCCTCGGGACCCGGAAAAGGGGTGATCGCCCATTCTTCCAGGCCAGCCGGGCACAGAGGGCACAGAGGGCAAGCCTGGCGAGCCAGGCGATGCAGGGTTCGGGCAACCCAACCACTCCCCTCTACCACCACCACTACCACCACTATATCCTCCTCGTCCTTGCTCACCTTCTGCCATCCGCTCGCTCCCTCCTTGCCCCTCTTACCAGTCGAATCACGCTACTCACCTGGCATCAGACTGTCGCAAGCCCACAGCCCGCGCCCACCATGGCCGACAAGCGCAAGTCGCCTCCGCCGGCCTCGACCACCCAGCACTCGCTCATCAAGCGTCAAAGGCACGACGACGGCAGCGCATCAGACGCACACAAGCAGATCGCCATCGCCTCGTCCAACGACGGCTCCAACAAGGGCCTCGTACGCACCGTCAAGCGCACATCCAGCCTCTCGAGCCCCATCCTCGGCCTCACCGGCGCACACGGCCAAGAGATCCTCGACGTCCGCTTCTCGCCCGACGGCGCAACCATCGCAGCCGCCGCAGCAGACCGCACAATCTCGATATGGAACACCTACGGCAACAACGAAAACATCGGACAGCTCCTCGGACACTCCAAGGCCGTCACGTGCCTCTGCTTCTCGACCACCACGCCCGGCACCCTCTACTCGGGCTCGGCAGACGGCACCCTCATCAGCTGGTCGCTCAAGACGGGCGAGAAGCAGCGCCGCCTCCGCGGCCACCGCGGCATCGTAAACTCGATCGCCTCGACGCGCTCGGGCACCGAGATCCTCGTCAGCGGCGGCGACGACGGCAGGGTGATGCTCTGGGACCCACAGGACAAGCAGGCGCTCGACGTCCTCAACGTTGGGTACCCCGTCACCGCCGTCGCCTTTTCCGACGACGCCAGCCAGGTCTATGTCGGTGGGCTGGACAACGACATCCACATCTACGACCTCTCGCGCAAGCAGATCGTCTTTAGCCTCCGCGGCCACCTCGACACCATCACCTCGATCGCCCTCAGCCCGTCCGGATCCCACCTCCTCTCGACGTCGTTTGACGACACGTTACGCATCTGGGACGTGCGCCCCTTTGCGCCCGAACCGGCACCCGGCGCAGAAAACGCCGCCAACCCGCGCCTCCACCGCACGCTGCGCGGCACCACGTTTGGCGGCTTCGAGAACCTCCTGGTCAAGGCGGGCTGGAGCAGCGACGGCGAAAAGGTCGTCGCCGGCGGCGCGGATCGGACGTGCACCATCTGGGAGTGAGTCGCGGCGAGGCGGGGCGGCTGTGCCGTGCGTGCGCGTTCTTCTTTCGGACTCTGAAGCTGACATCGGATCTCCCTCTCCTGTGCCTGCCACCCGCACCCCTCGCAGCGTCGAATCTTCAGCCATCCTCTACAAGCTGCCCGGCCACCGCGGCACGTGTACGGCAGCGGCGTACCATCCAAAAGAGCCGATTGGTGAGTTGCTCGCGTCCCCGAAACCTCGCAGCCGCTCGCAGGACGGCGCCGTGGTCCAGGAACTCATCTTATCCCCCTCCCTGCTGTCCGTCCCTCCGCTCGACGCTCGCCCCGCGCTCCAACAGTCGTCTCTTGCTCGACCGACATGACGATCCTCCTCGGCGAGATCGACCCATAACCTGGCCCGCCTGTCCGACGCACCTCGGTCGGAATGCAACGTCGGACCACCGTGCCTCTGATGCTCCTCGCACGCTCCTCGAACTGGCAAAGGAATGCATGCAAATACCACGACGACGAGAGGCTAATCCTCTCGTCTCCCAAACGACGACGACGACGACGATGATGACGATGATGACGATGACGATGACTAAAAGTACAGGAGTGTGCGCGACTTCAGACCCTCGCAGGGCCGGTCACGACGCCGCCGCCGACGAGCCCTTGCCGCTCTTCCTCTTTTCCCGCTTCTCGGCCTTGATCTGGAGCTGGGCCTTTTTCTTGTTGCGCTCCTGCCTCTCTCCAAACTTGTCGTGGTGGAGCGACATGGTGGCGATGCGCTTGGCCGTGGCGACCTTGTTGAGGTGCTGCAGCACCTCCTCCTCATCGAGACCTTCGAGCTCGGTGAGCTTGACGTTGATCTTGGCCTCGATGGCCTGGATGACGTCAATGTCGCGCTCAGTGATGAAGCTGACGGCGTGGCCCGCCTTGCCGTTTCGCGCGGTTCGGCCGACGCGGTGGACGTAGTCCTGCCAGGCGAGCGGCAGGTCCCAGTTAACGACCATCTCGACGTCGGGAATGTCGAGACCGCGCGAGCCCACGTCGGTCGCGATGAGGATGGGCACCCGCTGCGCCCGGAAGGCCTGCAGGTTGTCCAGCCGTTCGCTCTGCGCCAGGTGCGAGTGGAGCGAGACGTTGGGCACGTCGAGCTGGCGCAGCATCTTGGACAGCGTGGCCGCCGTCCGACACCGCGCGGCAAAGATGATGGTCGACGGGAAGTAGCCCTCGGCGTCTGGATCCGAGTCGTCGCCCGAGTCTTCGAGGTCCGAGTCGTGGTAGGCGCCCCGCTTGCCGCCGTCCGGCTTCTTCTTCTTGCTGCTGCTGCTGCTGCCGCCGCCGCCCATCCTCCCTCGTCGCTCACCGTCGCGCTCGCGCTCGGCGCGCTTCTTTGCCTTGTGCTTCCGCAGCCGCTCGGCGTTGGGCTTGACCGGCGGCTTGCGCAGGAGGTGGTAGAGGTACGGCTCGCGCACGTGCGACGGCACAAAGATGTACTTTTGCGTCAGCGTCTCGGGCGTGCTGGCGTCCATCTCGATCTTGCACACCATCGGCGGCAGCTTGCCCTCTGGCTGCTTGCGCTGCGCAAACGCCTCGACCTCCTGCGTCAGGGTGGCGGTGAAGAGGAGCGTCTGCAGCGAGCGGGCGGGCGGCAGCACCGAGTAGAGGTAGGAGATCTCGGGTTCGAAGGTCTGGGTGAGGAGGCGGTCCGCCTCGTCGAGCACGAGGAAGCGACAGCGGTTGAGGCCCCACTCTGATCCGCCGCCGCTGCGGAGGTGGTCGACGAGCCGGCCGGGCGTGGCGACAATGACGTGCGGGCGCTGCGACGCCAGCTCGGCGGCCTGCTTCATCATGTCCATGCCGCCGAGCACGAGTGCGCAACGCAGGCCCATCCTGGCGCCCTCGCCGACGGCGACAAACTGCTCGTGCAGCTGCACGCCCAGCTCGCGGGTCGGTGTGAGGACGACGGCGAACCCGCCGACCATGTCGCGCATGAGGGCGTTGAGGATGGGGAGGGCAAAGCAGAGCGTCTTTCCGGAGCCGGTCTGCGCTCCGCCGACGAGGTCGCGGCCCGCGAGGATCGAGGGCAGGGTGAGGGACTGGATCGGCGTGGGCACCTTGATGCTGAGCGATGCGAGGGAGCGGATGAGCATGGGCGAGATGCCGATCGAGGAAAACGTCGTGTGCTTAGGCTGGTCGGTGGGGCTGGCGCTGACGACGTCCGCGGCTGCGGCGGCAGCGGCGGCGGTCGATGTGGACGCCTCTGCCGAGGGCGACATTGTGTTGAGGCCTGGTATGTAGGGGTATCGGATGGCGATGGTGGCAGCAGGTGAAGGGAGGGCGAGGATGGTGGTCGGGGTGGTGGCGAGCCCAGGAAGAACCTGTTGGCCAGCCGCGGCCCCGGGACCCTTTCCAAATCAAGTCAGAAAATTGAATCAAACTCGGCGGTTCAGCATGCGAGGTCCGATCACCCGCCAGGTGGCGCCGACTGCCTCGCCAGAGTGGCGGCGACCCAGCAGCTCTGACACCACGCCCTCCCTCATCCTCCTTCTCCTCTCTCCTCCTCCTCCGCCGCACTGGCCCTGGCGCACCGTATCGTCGACGCCATGCTGCTGTCGCTCTTCTCGTATGCCTTTGCGCTGGCTTCGGTGGTGGCGCTCCTCTTTTGCGTGGGTAGGTACTCGGCGCGCCTGACCCTCCTAGTTACATCGTGACGGGTTGGCTTCCCACTGATGTCGATCCCGTGGCCTCTGCAACCGCTCCAGCGCTCGGACTGCTTCGCCTGTGCCAATTTATCGAAGCGCACAGCAGCCAGTCGAGGCGGATAGGCCTGCGGCTGCTCTACGTGAGTATGGATCGACGAGCATGGCCTGGGTCTGCCGCGCTGAACGACTGCTCATCGCCCTCACCATCCTCGCCTCCTCGCCACCGACAGGCGAGCCTTTCGGTCCAGGTCGGCATCGTCGTGCTCGACTCGGTGCCGCTGTGGCCCCTGCTACCCAGCCTGGCGGCGGGCGCCCTGCACCTGCATAGCCTGTCTCGACCCTCGTGGCCCTTTGCCGCCGCCCCCACAAACGGCAGGGATCGCCGGCAAGGGGCGTGGCCGTGGTCGTGGGTCGCGCCGACGCTGTCGGTGGTGCTACCGCTGGCATCGCACATGATGCTGACGCGCCACCACAACCTGGTGTCTCACACGTGGCACCGGCACCGGTACGACCATGCTCGGCGGCAGCGTCTACCGGGCGGTCGGCTGGACTGGGACGTGGAGCCGGAGGTGCCTCGGGAGCGTGAGATGAAGGTGGTGGAGCTGATTGCGGTGCTGGGCTTTTGCGTCTGGACGGTGCCCATCTGGCGCTTCCTGGGCAGCTGTGCGGCCATCGAGTGGGGCCTGTCGTCGTGAGCGGTACATACCAGCTCAACAAGGACGGCGGCGGCGCAGCGGACGGAGCGGGGATCGGCGAGGGCGGCGTTGTTCGACGACAGAGGGGCCCCACAGCCGACGACGATGCGCTGTCGGGGCGAGTCATGGGTGGCCTGCCACCACCAACCTGACCAACACCACCCGACGACCACCAACACCACCGGCTGCGAAGCGTCTGCAATCGTCGGCTTATTCGGCCGGCCCCTTTGGCCCGCTGCGTTGGGCGCTGCTTGAAACGAAGGCCGGGGTGAAGATGATTTGCCGGCGCGTCGGCAAAGGTCTCCCCCCAGGCGAGCAGCGAGATATGCATAAGCAGCCAGCACACAGGCAAGGTGGCAGGCCCTCGGCGTGGGCCAGCCCTAGGGCAGGGCAGGGCAGGCCTCGGGCAGGCCAGAGGCAGGGGCAGCTCGGCCTCTTGCCCCGCACTTTTCTTTCTTCTTGCTTGCTTGTGTTGCCACACGAGCCTGCCCGCGCCGTGACCACCGGCAGCGGCAGTTCCCGGTCTCGCCGCCGGTTGTCGCCGCTGTCCGCCCGAGTCTTTGGCTGGCAGGTCTGCAAGCCATTCCGAGTCCTAAAAGCGGGTCTCAAATACCCTGCTCCCTAGCGCTCCTTCCCTCCCCTTCACCACCACCCATTCACCCCACCAACCCCCTCGCTCTTCACGCAACCATGGCCAACCCACTCCGCGCAGCGCTGCCTTCGCTCAGAGCGGCCGCAAAGGCCACGAGGGCCTCGGCCCTGGCCGCCCCCGCGCGCAACTATGCCATCTCGTCGACTGCAATCACCCCCGACGCCGTCTCGGCCAAAGAGTTCCGCATGACCGACTTTGCAAAGTTCAACTGGGAGGACCCGCTCAACCTCTCGTCGCAGCTCTCGGAAGAGGAGCTCGCCATCAGCCAGACAGCCCACGACTTTTGCCAGGAGACGCTGCAGCCAAAGGTCACCGAGATGTACCGCACAGAGAGTGAGTAGCCGTCGCCTCTCCTTCTCTCGTGTCTTTAGCGCAAAGATGCCTGCAGACAGCAAGCCCTCCGACTGACCTCGTTCCTCTGCATCCTTCACTCCGTGCTCCTCTGCCGCCAGGCTGGGACCCTACCATCCTCCCCTCGCTCGGCTCCCTCGGCCTGCTGGGCTCGACCATCGAGGGCTACGGGTGCGCCGGCGTCAACTCGGTCTGCTACGGCCTCATCGCGCGCGAGGTCGAGCGTGTGGACAGCGGCTACCGCTCCATCATGTCGGTCCAGTCGTCGCTCGTCATGGGCCCCATCAACCAGTTCGGCACAGAGGCGCAGAAGGAAAAGTACCTGCCGCGCCTCGCAAAGGGCGAGCTGGTCGGCTGCTTTGGCCTCACGGAGCCAAACCACGGCTCCGACCCCAGCGGCATGGAGACCACCGCCACCGACACCGGCGACGGCCACGTCGTCCTCAACGGCAGCAAGACCTGGATCAGCAACTCGCCCCACGCGTGAGTCCCGGCGCCGCCCTGGCCTGTCCCGATGCTACGCTTCCTGGGTCGATCGCCCTTGGCCCCTGGCTGACCACCGCCTCGTCCCCTTCCATACACACCCTCGGCCCTCTTCGCACTACAACACAGCGACGTCTTTGTCATCTGGGCCAAGTGCAAGTGGGACAACAAGGTGCGCGGCTTTGTGCTCGAAAAGGGCACAAAGGGCCTCTCTGCGCCCGCCATCAAGAACAAGCTGATGCTGCGCGCCTCGGTGACGGGCTCCATCTTCCTCGAGGACGTGCGCGTCAAGATGGACGATGCGCTGCTCCCGCACGCCCGGCCGGGGCTGGGCGCGCCGTTCGAGTGCCTCAACTCGGCGCGCTACGGCATCGGCTGGGGCGCCATGGGCGCGCTCGAGGCGTGCATCGCCGAGGCGCGCCAGTACGCGCTGGACCGCAAGCAGTTTAAGCGGCCGCTGGCGTCGTTCCAGCTGATCCAGCGCAAGTTGGCCGACGCGGCGTCCGAGGCCGCGCTGGGCCTGGGCGCATCGCTGCAGCTGGGCCGCATGAAGGACAGCGGCAACTGGAGCCCCGAGATGGTGTCGCTCGTCAAGCGCAACAACTGCGGCAAGGCGCTCAACCACTCGCGCATCCTCATGGAAATCTTTGGCGGAAACGCCGCCAGCGACGAGTACCACATCGGCCGCCATGCCCAGAACCTGCACGTCGTCAGCACCTACGAGGGCACCGCCGACGTCCATGCCCTCATCCTCGGCAAGGGCATCACGGGCATCCAGGCGTTTGCCTGAGGGGGGCCAAGCGCGAAGCTCGCAGCGTCGAGCGGGAGCGGAGCGGAGCGAGATGGTACCGGCACGTGTTGATTAGCAACGGGACCGACCCGTGTCGCTTGTAGATAGCGCGTAGACGGAATGAAGGAGCGACTGCGTGATCACGGATCCACCTTTGGATTGCCGCTGTACTTGTTGGTGTTGATGAGGGTCATGATCAGGCCGGGGATGGTGCCGATCGAGTTGACAATGGCGAGTCCGTAGGTGACGTTGTCCGTCGTCATGCCGCCGCGGCCCTTGTCCGATTCCTTCCGCTCCTGGCCCCTGGCGTCGTCGTCGTCCTTGTCCTTGCGGTGCTTGAACTTCTTTCGAGCCCTGTTGAGCGCCGTTGCGTCGAGTTTATCGCTCTGTGTCGACGAGGCTGACGACGACGACGACGAAGAGGAGGACGGGGAGAGGTGGAGCGGTGTCGAGGGCGGCGTGTGGAACTCGTCCTCTACCATTTTCGACGTCGTCGTCGTCGTAGGAGACGAGGGCGGGCGGAGGGGGAGGTGCTCTACCATCGCGTCTACGACCTCGCGCCCCGTTCTGATGGCAGCATCCTCGATCGGAACGACGTCGACGATGGATCTCCGGATCACTCCACCGTTTGCAGCTCGTACACGTCGACAGATTGCCGCATCCGCCGCGACGAGCATCGACGGATCGGGCCGCGTCGAAAAAAAGCAGTACACTTCTCCCTGCCGCAACGGTGTCGACTCCGACCCCGTGGTTGTGGTGATGTTGGAAGGGCGAGGACGATGTGCTGCCTCGTTCCTTTTGAGGGACTTGTACGACTGCGCACCGTGTGGAAGAGGGGGCAGAGCAGGGTGTTGAGGTTTTCAGCGTGGTTGCGCATCCAAGCGAGGGAAATGGGGCCAAGGTGCACGACGTACGATCCATGACCAGCCTACGTTTCCGAGCGTGGCTAGTATAGCCATCCCCAGACCGATCTTGGCCTGGATCGTAGAAGCGAAGATGCGGGGGCGGGAGCGTCAGGACCCAATTCTCCCTCATGTCTCCCTGTCCAAGGCCGAGGACAGCCGGGGGGAGTACACACCTTTAGGCCTCGCTTGACCTCTCTTCTCGACGTTGCTGCTCCAACCAAGGAAGAAGAGGCGCGCCGCGCGGGGAGAGGTGCTGATCCGACGGCGGTGCAGAGATCGAGCACGATGACGAGGAGCACGACGAGGTGGAAGGCTCGCATCTTTGTTGGCGTACGGTCGGTAGGTTGATGCGAGAGTTAGCCAGGGAATGCAAGGGCGAGAGCGACGAGAACTGATCAAGTGGCGGTTTATCTATATCCCCCTCGCTCCTGCCGTCGAATCCGGAACACAAGGCTGTGCCAGTGCCGTCCACCGAGGTTGCGCGGCACCTTGTCGGTCACGGCGTCAAATGAAGCCCATGTCACCCCTTCGTCCCCGACTTGGCCCGGAATGAAGCAACAACGTGCGCACGCGTACACATTGACGACACCCCGAAGCCCCCTGATCCGTTATCGATCCTCGATCTGATACCGTACGTGGGCGGTGCTGATCTGATAGCGTTCTGCGTCAAGAGGTGGACCGCATGGCGACACATGCCTCGCCCCGGAACGACGCCGACACCATCGCGGTCGGGCGGCACGGAGAGGACAAGGGGCGTCGACGAGATGGTATTGCGTATGAACAGGCAGGCGAATGTGGAAAGGGAGGGCAAGGAGAGGGCGGAAGGCGTGACGACGTCCGATCAATCTGTCCAATGTACGTCGCCCTTTGATGAACGTTCGGCGATGAGCTTGCGGCGGTGATAGAGCATGCGCTGCGCCTTGTACCTTCTGACAAAGGTGACGTCCTGGAGCGGCGTGCGAAGAAAGGGTGGGGCGAGATGCAGCGTTGCACTGGTAAGCTATGAGGGACCAGGGGGAGGTCACGGAGAGACGCCGGGCGGCCGGGGGTGGACTCACATCAAGGACCTGTTCGACCGACTGGTTGGCGCTGCTGGCGTCGTCTCCGACGGGGTACGGCAGACCTTCGACGTAGGCGTTGGCCAGTTGCTCGGACCGATCGTTAAGTTTTGTCGCCGACTGGGCGAGGTGGAAGTGCAGCGAGGAGGGCGAGAAGCGCTGCGGGATGGCGAGAAAGAGGGGGGAAGGAGAACGGTGAAGAACCGGCAATCAGTATCTGATAAGGCACAGCGCAGTGCTGTGCGGCGCGGCAGGTTATCGGGGCTGGCGGGGCTGGCGGGGCTGGCGGGGCTGGCGGGGCTGGCGGGGCCGGCGGGGCCGACAGAGGAGACACACCTTGTACAACTCGTTCATCTCGGCCTCGAGCTGGGGCCACTGTGCCTGAAGGGCTGTAGCGCGGTCAAACAGCTGCTGCGTCTCTGCCCGGAGTGCCTCTAGCGGCTGCTGCAATGCGGTGTTTTGTCCTGTGGGGCGGAAGATGGCGTCAGGCCCTAGGGTCAGTCTGGGTCAAGCCGGCGCTGGGGCAATGGGCCGCTGACGATGCGCACTGGCTTTGTCCTCGTTCTGCCGCAAGAGCTGTGCATGCTGGTGGTAGAGCTGCCTGACCTGAGGCAGGGAGTGGAAGAAGGCCTCAAAGTAGGCCTGGTCGCGTTGGAGCTGCGAGGGGTCGGTGGGGTTGGACGTTTCGCCGAGGAGGGACTCGATGTCGTTGCGCGATAGCGTTGCGGTCGACGGGTGTGCTGCCGTCAGTGGCGTTGGTATGGAGGGTGTGCCTGTGGCGGCCATGGTGTAGCGAGGGGTCCGAAGGGGGATGGGGTGATGGTGGTGCGAAGGAAGAATCGAGCTTAGCTGCTGGCTCTGTTGGACAGGCGAGTCGGGGGCGCGTGGTCAGTGCACCGCCTCGAGGTGCGTCGGGGATGTGGAGAAGGCGACCGGCCCGGCGACAAGGGCAAGCCGGGTTGGCTCTCCTGGCCCCACGACCTCTATCTTTCCTCCTCAACCACCACCACCGCCGCCAGCCCTCGTTCCCTTGCTTGCCGTTGCCCCACGGTATCGCAGCCATGCCGCTATCGTCCCTCGCCTCATCGCTGCGCAGCATCCTCTTTGCACCGCCACCGCCGCACCAGCATCCTCCCTCGGCCTCGTCGTTGTCGTCGCCGGCATCGAGCACCACCCTCCCCATTCCACCCGCAGCACTCGCATCCCTCACCTTGCGCTCCAGGCACGCGCTCGAACGCCTCTACGCCTACCGCGCACCCCACAACTCGGAATCCTGCCCGCACGCCATCCCCGCATTTCGCAGGGCCGCCGTCCTCCTCGGCCTCTTTGCCGGCCGCAACGGCGAGCTCTACGTCATCCTCAGCAAGCGCAGCTCCCGCCTTCGCAGCCACTCTGGCGACACCGCCCTGCCTGGAGGCAGGTTCGAGCATACCGACAAGGACCTAGAGTACACTGCGGTGAGAAGCGCCGCGCCAACCTGCCTTTTCCCCACCGTCCTTCGATACTGACCCTTTGCCCTCCTCTGCCCCTTTGCCACCCGATCAGCGGAGAGAGGCCTTTGAAGAGGTGAGCGAGCCACGAGGGGGCTCTCGTCCGACCTCCATCTGCTCCTGTCGACTGACCCACATTGCCCTCCTTCGCCCGCCCCGCAGACTGGCCTGCCCATCGACCCGTCTTCGTCCATCCTCTTGTGCGAGCTGCCTCCCTTCCTCTCGGCAAACGAGCTGGTCGTCACGCCCTTTGTCGTCCTGCTGACAGATCACAGCGTGCAGGTGAGCCAGGCCCAGCGTCCTGTCGCACCTGTCCTCATTCGGACTATGCACGAGGAACGTCGACTGACGACCCCTAACACCCACCCCCTTCACCCTCCTGCGGACCGCACAGCCTCACCTGAATCCGAGCGAAGTCGACTCGCTCTTCTCGCTGCCCCTCGTTTCCTTCCTCTACCACACGCCGCCCCTATCACTGCGTCCCTCGCTCCGCCTCTCGCCGACACCGACCGAAGCCGCGCTGAGCGAGATGCCGGCCAACGAGGTCTCGGCGCCGAGCGACTGGCACACGTGTCGAGACATTCTCTGGCTCGGCGGCCATCGGATACGCAGGCACACCTTCTGGGACGAGCGGAACCCGATCCGAGGATTGACGAGGTGCGTGCCCAGCTCCTCTGCCTCAGCGGGCGTGTTGCAGTACAAAGGCTGAGTCCCGCCGTTGCCTTGCGCCTCTCTCTCTCCCCCTGTCCCACAGCGACATTCTCATCCTCGCCGCCTCGATAGCGTATGCCTCCGAACCGCAGTTCTCAAACGTCGCCCCGGCCCAACCGACACAGGCGGACCTGATTCGGCTCTCGTTCACCGGCCCCTTAGCGCTGAGGCGGTACCGCGTCAAGCCACGCATGCAGTTCCTCCGTCCCCCCGACTCGTTTTCCTTTACCGGAACCACGACCGCAAAAGAGACGGGCGCGGCCGAACAAGACGCGAAAGGAGAGGCGGCGGCGGCATCGGCATCGGCATCGGCATCGTCGCGCGGAGAAGAACTGCAACAGCCGCTCGACGATCGTGGCGACTTCAAGATTGCCCCGCCCCTCGACAAGCAGCGCGCGAGCGGAGCCAAGGACCAGGACAAGGACAAGGACGAGGACAAGGCCAAGGCCAAGTTGTAGAATCCTCCACGATCTTAGATTGCTAGCAGAAGAGGGAAGCAGTGCCTTGGTACTCGGGTCGCGCTACCGTCGGGCCAGGTCGAGGGTGGCCACGAGCTCGACCTCCAACTCGCCCACCTCGTCGAGCACATCCTGCGCCTGCACGCGGACAATGGCGTCGGTATCGCGCGCCCGGCTGAATCCGACGACCGTCTTTGTACGCTCCACCAGGTCGAGCGGGAAGAGCAGAGCGGCGTCGCCCGCACCACCTCCGGCTCCGTCTCGCGCCGCCCCACCGCCGTCGCCGCCACCGATCCGTCCCGAGAGGCTCGGAAGCACGCCGCCGCCTGGAAGCCGGAGCCTGTCCATCTTCGGCCCGTCCCCCTCCGCTTGCGCTTGGCCGTGCTGCTGGACCCGCTCGACGAGTTGGTGCTTGCTCGCCCGTACCATGGTGACGACCAGGAGCAGCGCGGCACGACGCAGCGACGACACCTTGCTGTCCGTCGTCGTCGCCTCGTCGTACCCTGCTCCGCCCTTGCCCTTGCTCTTCGTCCCCTTGCCTCGTCCTCCCTCGCCTTCGTCCTCGTCCTCGCCCTCGTCCTCGTCCGAAACGTCCTGGACGATGCCGCCGACCTTCATCCTCACCTTGTCCCTCTCCGTCGTCGGCCTCTGCACCGTCTCGATGGCGACGAGATCGAGGCAGGTCTCGACCATCTGCCTCGCCAGTCCGCTCGAGGACAGGACGAGGGGTACGGCCTCGACGGTGGTGCCGAGGATCGAGATCATGGAGCTCCTCAACGTCGTCGGCGTGTTTTTGTCGCGCAGCTTGGCAAGGAGCGGGGGCACGAGGACGTCGACGTGCGGACCGAGCGCCTCGTCGCACCTCTGCACGACCTGAAGTAGCGCCTCGCCGACGCGCAGCCGCTTGTCGACCTCGCGCCGCGACGGCGGGACCGAGGCGAGCGCCTCGCGGCCCAAGTAGAGAGAGACGAGGCGGCGGATGGTCTCGCGGCCGCCACCGACGCCCATGGCAGAGAGACCCTGGACGGCGTTGAGGTAGAGGTAGCTCTCCTCGTCCTGCACCGCCTCGAGAAAGATGTCGAGGATGGCAGGTAGCAGCGCCGGGTCGAGGTGCTCGCGCATCCCCTTGTCGGCGGGCGACGACGAGACCAGCTGTCGCAGCAGCACCAGCCCGTGCGCGCGCACCGGCAGGATGGGGTCTTGTAGCAGCCTCAGCGCTTCCTGGTACGTCTCCTGCGTCGCGGCGTACCCGCGAGCGCGCGATGAGAGCGGGCTGCTCGCCTTGTCGTCGGCCGGGTCCGGTCGAGGTCCCAGCGCTGCGTTGCGACGCGCCGTCAGGACGAGCCGCGCCTCCTTGCTCAGCGACCGGATCTCGTCGTTGCCGCTGTCGAGGTGCGGATCCAGCTTGGATGCAATCACCAGCAGCATCGGCGTCGTCTCGGTCGACAGACTCGCGTTGCCTGCGCGGAAAAGTGACATGAAGCAGCAGGATTGGGGTGTCCGGTGCAGGTCAGCGATGTGGTCAACGAGGTCCCGCAGCGTGCCCCTGCCGTCGTGCAGCGCAGCCCGACTCACCTTCGAGCAGCGAGAGGAGCAGCGTCAACGAAGTGATCACCAGCTCCTCGTCGTCCTCTGCGTCCTCGTCGTCGTCGCCATCCTCGACAGAACGGTCCCTCGCGGCGCCAGCCATCTGCTCGTCCTGCGACAAGCCCTCGCTCGCACTCTTTATGTCGAAAAGGCCACCCTTCGACGGGCCCGATGCCTTCGACGCCGAGATGAACGGCATCTCATCCTCGCCCTCCTTCTCTGGCTGTCCGCTCTCTCGCCGCGTCTCGAGCCGGCGCTCTTTGGGCGACGACAGCGAAAAATTGATAAAGTTGAGCGTGATCGCCACCTCTCCCTCGAGCAGCTCCGAGCCGAACGCCTCAAAGAGCTGCAGGATGAGCTGGAGGTAGAGGATGGACCTCGTCTCGAGCGTCGGCCCGACGGACGCGTCGCCCGTCGCCTTGGCGGGGGCGATGCCGGACTTGCGCTCCAGCCTCTGTCCCATGTGGGCGTCGAGGATGCGCGGGAGCAACGACTTGGCCATGTCCTTGCGCTTCGTGCCTTGCAACAGGTCGACGACCGCCTTGGGATCGGGCTTCAGGTGGAGCGACGATGCGAGGCCGGCGGGCAGTTTCGGCAGGTCGGCGGCGTCGCTGCCGGTGCCATTCGAGCCCGAGATTGCTTGGGCCAGGTCGGAGAGCGACATGGCACCAAACAGGCCGGAGGGATCGGCGGCAGGCTCTGGTGGTCTGTGGCGAGGAATAAGGGGCGCCAAAGTTGATGGTGTCAACAAAGTGTAGGCTGCGCGACGGCAAGGATGCAGTCGAACCGACTCACTGTCCGCATCGGATAGCGACGCCGTCGTCGGCCGATGCCCAGTACAGCGCCCTCCCTGTTTGCTCGTCATCAGAGGCAAGACCCACGGCGACGTCACTGCCGATGCCCCGCTCGGCTTTTCGGATCGCGACCGCCATCGTCCGAGCGCCTTCCTGGGCATCGACCAGCCGCGTCCAGGCGCGCAGCAGGCCGTCGACCTGCCTCTGCATCACCTGCAGCTGATCGTCGTCGCCGACCTGCCTGACCTTTGAACGGGCGCTGCGCCCGGCAGCCGTCTTCAGGAAGCAGTGCAGGCTCAGCAGCTGCGGCAGCACGGGCCCCAGCAGACTGTCGAAGAAGACCGGCGAGGGCTCGGCAAAGAGCAGCAGGGAAGATAGCACCGTGATTGCCCTCGCTACGACAGCAGCCGGCACCACGGTCACATCTTCGTCTGCCCCAGGACTCGCCATCGAAGGGCGCAGGTGGACGTAGACGCGGGCCTCGAGCGCCTTGGTGAAGTCGTCGGCGTGCCTCTCCGAGATCCTCGTCAGCGCAAAGGCCGCGGCGCGCATGTGGGTGGGCGAGGGCGCGGTCACCGTCGTCTCGGGGTCCGGGTCGATGATGTCGAACAGGCGCGGCAGAATCATCGCCAAGTAGCTCTGCGGCAGCAAAGCGCGGGAGAGGGACTCTGAGTTCAGCCGCTGGCATCCCGACCATGCAGGAGAGAGCTCCGGGCTCCGGCCGCTCACAGAAGTGTCGAGGCCCTGAGGGGCAGTGCCAAGCAGCTTGGCGAGATGCTCGTACTTTTGAAGCGTGTCTGTCATTGCGACGAGCGGGGCGGTCGAGGTGAGCTGGAGCCCGAGCTTTCGACAATGATAGGGGCCTCGACGACTCACTCTTTGCTCCTCCGTCTGCGGCAGACGGACCCTCCTCGGCATCGACTCCTCCGAGCGTGGCGATGAGGACCGCTCGGACGCCGTCTGGCCTAAGAAGCTGCGCCGACAACAGGCGAGAGGCCGACGCGCGGACAAAGACGGGCAGGCCGACCGGAGCGAGCGCAGGCGGCGCGGACAGGACCGACGAGAGTGTCGAGATGGCTGACGCCGTGGAGAGGCTGCGGGAAGCGAAATCAAGACAAGGCGAAAGTCAGCACTCGCAAGCTCCACGCCAGCGCCCAGAGAATGACCGGCAGCGCTCACAACTTGAGCAGCAAAGAGAGCTGACTGGCGGCCTCTTGCTGGGCCGGGTCTGCGCGAGCGGCCCCCGGACCCATGGCCGTCCGGAGCAGCGCGGCAGTGAGCTCTACGGTGTTGGTCTGCAGCAGCAAGTTGGAGATGTCGGTGCTGGCATCGAAGCCGATCGCCGTCGGTGCCGAGGGCGGTGGCGTGGCCTCGCTGGATACGAGCATCGAGGTCCATCTGGTCACGATCTGGATCAACTGCCGCCGTGCCGCGGCGAAGCGTTCCAGCTTGGCCCTCTTTGCAGCCTCATCCTCGTCGTCTGCGATCTCCTCGAACCTGCTGGACTCGTCGATGGCGTTCCTGCTCCCGGAGGCCGCTGCTGGCCGTCGCGGAAAGAGGTTGGGGGCCAAGTCGGCGAGAGCCTCGTCGTAGGCATGTATCCTTGGCACGAGGGCCCACCTGGCGGCGAGAGAGAGGAGGGTGGCTGCGAGCTTGCGGTCCTTGATGCCGAGGCCGAGGTCTTCCTGACCGGCCGTAGAGGGACGAGGAGCGCACCCAGGGGTGCCGCGTCCGGGCGTCAAGTGCTGCGTAGCCACGCGCGCTGATGGATCGCGCTTCTTGTCCTGCAGGCCGAGGTGGATGTGGGCGAGGAGGGTGAGGGCGGCGTCGCCCGTTGCACGCTGGGCCGACTGTGCATCGTCTGCGGTAGGCAGGTTTGCGATGGCGCCGCTGCTATCCTCGTCAAGGTGGGCCAGTCGCGAGGCGAGTACGACGGCCAAGCTGGCCGCTGTGCTGCTGCAGTGTCCTGCGTCCTTGGATGCTGGGGCGGCCCTCTGGATGCCGAGCTCGTCGTCGCGCTGACCGGCGAGCAGGGCGGCCTGCCTGAGCGACGCTGCGAGGCGCGACGAGGGTCCTCGAGCGTCGAGGGGCGTCGGATGTACCGATGCAGCGCCTGATTGCGACATGGGCACCGAAGCTGAGCTGCAGCGGTCGAGCCAGACGAGGGCGGCCGACAGAGACGAGGTGGCTGTGCTGATCTGGGATGGTCGTGAGAGCAAGCAAGCAAGCGGCGTTACCACCCGTCGAGACCCTCTCTGTCTCTGTCCTTTTCCTTCGGCTTCTTGCCGCTCAGCCGGCGGCGAGGCCGTGTGGAGGAGGCCCCTGCCTGGCGCGCCGACACGGGCCAGCCGTGCACGCATCACGCAGGCACAGCCTCTCGAGCCGGCTCCCTTCCGAGCAGCCACCAGGCCGGGGGATAAAGGCCTGGCCTCCCAAATCGATCCTGCTTCTGGCCCACCATCGTCGCCATCCACGCCCCTCTCCGTGGATACCGCCGGCGCTGCCACTGCTCACCTCTTCGACCTCGCACGCCCATCTGCCCGCCATGGGGTTCAACAAGAAGCTCCTCCTCGCCGGCCTCGCTGCCGGCGTCACCGCCTACATGCTCTACAAGGCGAGCAAGAAGAAGCAGCAGCAACAGCAACACCAGATCCAGGCACCCGCTCCCTACGGCGGCGGTGCTCAGCAGCCGCAGCAAGCATCGGCCTACTCGACCGCTCACAACGCAGGCGGCACCGGCGGCCACAATTCGCACTGGGGCGCAGCCGGGGCCGTGGCGGGGCTCGCGACCGCAGGCGCCGCCTACGCCGCCTACAACCACCATCAGCAGCAGACGTCGCAGCAGCCGTCGCAGCAGCCGTCGCAGCAGCCTGCTTACGGAGCACCACCCACGTCCGCCGCCCCGTCCGGCGAGGTCACCTGGGATATGCTCCGCGACTGGCGTCACATTGCCAACCTCCTCTCCAACTGTGTCATGGACCAGTTCCTCTACCCTTGGTGGACGTTTGACTCCGTCGCCCGCCTCGCTACCCACATCGCCAACACTGGCTCGCTCGTCGCCTGCGCAGACGCGTGGCAGCTGCCCCCCGTGCTGGCCCAGGACCTCGTCAAGCTCGCCCTCTTCGACGTCATGTTCCTCCTCGACGACAGCGCCAGCATGCGCTCCGAGCGAAACGTCCGCCCCGACGCGCTCAAGGGCATCCTCCGCCGCAGCGCCGACGCAGCCGGCCGTTTCGACCAGGACGGCATGGAGTGCGCCTGGATGAACAGCGACGTCCACCAGCGCATCCACACCGCAGACGAGGCGGCACGCCTCACGGACGCGTGCAAGTTCAACGGCAACTCGACCCCCATGGGCTCGGCGCTCGAGTCCAAGATCCTCGGCCCGCACGTCCTCGCCAAGGCGTCGTCGGGTGCCCTCCAGAAGCCCGCCCTGATACTCGTCATCACCGACGGCAGGCCCACCGGATCCGCCGAGCGCGGCGACAAGATTGTCCAGGTGCTCAAGCAGGCCAAGCGCACCCTCGCCGCCACGCGCTACGGCGAGGATGCCGTCAGCTTCCAGATTGCTGCCGTCGGCAACGACCGCGACGCCCAGGAGTGGCTCGACAGCATCGACTCGCACAAGGAAGTGGGCGAGCTGGTCGACGTCTGCTCCGACATCCGCCAGGAGGCCAAGCAGGTCAAGCGCTCCATCAACGTCGAGCTGACCGAAGAGCTCTACTGCCTCAAGATCCTCCTCGGCGGCATCGACGCCAGCTACGACGCCAGCGACGAGGCCGGCCACACGGCCAAGCACCGCGAGCGCAACCGCGCCGCAAAGGAGGCCCGCTTCGGTCAGGAGGCGGCCGCCTTCCGAGCGGCCAAGGACCAGGCGCTCGGCCCGGTGGGCGCGCCCGCCAGTGCGCTGCCCTCTGCTCCTGCTCCGAACGCGTATGGTCAAGCAGGAGGCTATCCTGGCCAGCCGCCGCAGCAGCAGCCCTCGTACCAGCCCTACGGAACTCAGCAGCCCCAGCCTGCGTATGGACAGCCCCCCGCTCCCTCGCCGTACGGCGGTGCTGCACCTGGAGGCCAGTACGGCGCCCCTCCGCAGCCCCAGGCCCCGTACGGCCAGCCACCGCAGCCTCAGGCCTCCTATGGCCAACCACCGCAGCACGCCTACGGCCAGCCGCCAGCTGCTGCCCCATACGGCGGCGGCGGCGGCGGCTTCCCCGACCCATCGTCGTACATGCAGACCGCCCCGCCGCCCTACGGTGGTTACGGCGATATGAGCCGAGCGGGTGCCGACGCTGGCCCGCCTCAGCCGTGGGGGGGAGCTCAGCCGCAGCCGCCGCAGCAGCCTCCTCAGCAGGGCTTCCCCGCTGGAACCGGGGGCTTCGGCATGCCCACGCCCAACACCAACGCCTCGCCCTACTCGAGCTACCCGCCGTACTGAGCTGCGCGTGCGGCCAGCCGTCGCCGTCTTCACCACATGCCGCTGTATACCTGTACCTCTTCTCCTTTTCGCCCCGTCTGCCTCTGGAATCGCACTGGATACCCCCCGCGGCACAGTCGTCATCTTGACCTGGCTCGTCGGCGAGCAGCAAAAAGGAACAACTGCAGCGCCTCGGATTCCCACGGGGTCCCCCACCGCGATACTGACGAGGCGACAGCGTGCTTGACCCCCCGGGGCGGACGAGATGGGGTACTTTGACGGTTCTCTGGCCGCGGATGGGCGGTCGTCGCGAAGGACTTCCTGACCACCCTCGAGGACGAGTCAGGGTGGGACCGCCGGCTTTCGGAGCGTCGCTTCGGGTCCGAAGGCAGGTCGCACGTGGCGCACCAGGCTTGCTTGCTGGCTCGCTGGCTTTGCTCGCTCGCCGCTGTCCGACCATATGCCGTCAGCCACCCGTCTTTCTTCCCCACGCCCTCTGATCAGGCACTCATCCTTCCGACGGTTGCAGAGCGTCAAGCCACGTTGCTGCTGCGGAAAGCGTGCGTCCGAGTGCTCATCCATGCACGACTTCGACTTTGCGACGAAGAAGCGGGGGGGCGCTGCCCACCGCCCGCTTGTTTTCCACGCTCCCCGTCAGCGGAGGCCGAAACGAAGGCAAGCACGTCGTGGAAAGGGCTTCGACCAGAGCAAGTCAAGGCAAGGCAAGGCACGGCCAGCTAGTCCCTCTCGAAGAGGACGGCGGACGGATGTTTCGGATCTCACCTTTCCGCAACCCCGGCCCGTCTCGCGCTTTCGACTTGGACTTGGGATAGAGTGTAAGCTGGCTGTACGAGGCGGGATGACACGAAGCAAGCAGGCAGGCGGAGGATGAAGTTGGGCCTCGTGGCGTTTTGCCGAGAGAAACACGGCGACGGGGCGGATGACGAGTTGGCCTCTCACTTGCACTGCTCCTCGGCCTGGACCGCTTCCCCCTTCCCCCGACGACCTTGCAATATAATGCCAACTCCGCTATCCAATCTCGTCTTATGATTGCTCACCCACCGAGGCAAGGCGGGGTACCGAAGAAGCAAGCCCCGTTTGAGCTCTTCTCAAGGTATGTGCCTGATCTTTGTACTTATGATCCCGCTCGAGATGCAGGGACGAGCTCATAGATTGCCTTCCGGCATTCCCCTGCCTCTGTCGACCGAGCTGGGTCGTGTCGTGACATCCACGGAGGCTGCGAGGCCAGGCCGGGGATAAGAATAACAACGACGACGATGGGGGGTTCTCTCGTCGACCCTGCTGCTGCTGCTGCGCCACGAATACCGGTAGCATGCGACGGACAGGCTCCAGGCATGCATGGAGCCGGTTGACCGGTAGACGCACGCATACCGGAGTGAGCCGCTCGAGCCCCGCGCCACCCCGCTTTCCTTTCAGCTTGCACAGCGTGCGCAGCATTCTGTTGATGGTCGCCTGCAGCGTCCTTTGTCTTCGCCTCACCCGCGTCGCCCTTCTTAGCATCACAAAGGCGATAGGACACTGGTGGCACCCTGTCGAAGTCCAAGGCTGGCGGCGATTCCAATGAGGTGCACGCGAAACTGGGACGAGACGGGCTTCGGGATCCCGTCATCCTCGACTGAGCCGTACACCATCCGGAGGACACCGAGGGGCCCGGTTAAGTAAGCCCAAGGCTTGCGTGTACGCTCGTACGGCATTTGAAAGGCCGGCAAGGCGAGGCGAGGGCACGGCAGGGGCTTGCGACACTCGGAGAGCGTTGCGAGAGCGAGCTCGTTCGTTCGCCGCTGCGGCGTCAGACGTACGAGGCTGTCCTTGGTCACCAGGCAACGGCGCCGACGAGGTCGACGGCCTATGCCATGTATGTAGGCTCTCGCGCTCTTTGGCCGTTCAGCCCTGGCTTGCGACCCGGGCAAGACCGGGACAGCCTCCAGAGCCGCGCCCTCCAACTTGCCGATACGCACCCATCGGTACCGTAGCTACCGGTACGTTAGACACGACACGGTGGCACCCACCATTGCAGCCGTAGCGCGGGCGCACTCGTCCTAGGTACGGCAGTACAGTAAGTACATAGGAACGTATCGGTCTCGCTTCTACGGCTGATCCATCTGCGGGAGGGGGGCCAGCAAGGCGAAGGCGAAGGCGGAAGCCGGTGCCCCCGGGACTTTGACGCCTCGTCACATGAATGCGCTCCCATTGTTGTTTGTGGCGAAGCGAGATGCCGTAGAACACGGCCCTCGCACCTTCGTGTCCACAGAGACCGTAGACCAAAGCAAGAGCACAACGGCGTCTCTCAGATGTCCGAATGGCTCCTCTGTCCCGGCGTTTTGTTCAGAGGTCGGCCAAACGGCTCTCGCTTGGCTTGCTAGGTCATGGAAAGCGACACAATCTAAGACTCAACTCAAGGGCCGAACCAGCCCGGCCATCTTTGTCGCCGCGATGCCCCAGGGTGGCCTGTCTTGGCCTGCCAGCGCGCTGGGCTGCCAGTCGACCAATCGCCGTCGTGGTTCCGGCTGCGGCATAGGTAGCAACCATATGATGGGATCCGCCTCGTTCGGATTCCGAACGACTTGGACGCCTGTCGGTCTCATGAAGCACGAGCTGGCTGGATGTTCAAGCGAGTATGAGAAACCCGAACGGCCGAGGTCAGGCCTGGCCGACCGGCCAATGAGGAGCCGACGTTGGCCATCGGGAAAACGTGACTGACAGGTTGCGAGCTCGTGTTGACAGCCAGGCAAGCAGGCAAGCTGGGCCGTGGCCAATGGTGAGCGGTCGACGCCACCGCCATCCGACGTCGTGGAGTTCGACGGACGACGGCGGTAGTGGCCGGGAGCGGCAGACGAGACAGCATGTGGTCCCGCCTCGCCTCGCCTCGCTTCGCCACCTGACGCCCTTCGCCACCCGGTGGCACGCTTGGGTTCTGTACCACAGTTTGGACGGCGGTCGGTCGCCACCACGTCGCACCGCTTCCCCTCGGCAAGATACGACCGAGATCGCTTGGCGCTCACGAGCACAATGTCTTTGCGACGTTACACACACGCGCAAGCTGGAGCAAGGCGAAAGCCTCGCGCAAAAGGATCGATCATACATGCTCACCGGGCGGGGCAGGTGTCGTATGTATCATTCCGATCACAAAGCGGCTTCAACAGGCCTGGCCGGGCGGGCTGGTCCGCTGACGTCGCCGGAACGGAAGGGGCCTGCTCGTACGGATCGAGCGGCGGCTGCGTTGGACGGCGGGCCAAGCGCGCCGACGCCGTGGACCCCAGGGGGCAAGTCAAGTCTGGCGCCGTCCCGCGGATCAAATCAGATCCCATCGAATCTTGAATCAAAGAGATGGACCCGCAATGGCAGGGGCCCGCCCACAGAGACGACAGGAGCGAGCCGTCGACTCGAGGTGATCGCGACGGCGACGATGACGACGACGGCGACGACGATGATCAGAGCCGGCTGCGTGCAAAGGCGGGCGCGGGCATCCCAAGGTAGAGATGAGATTTATCTTGCCTGCCTGCCACGCCTCTCTCCCTCGACACACCTACCGGTGCTCCCTTGGCATGACTGTACGGATGTAACTTGGCTAGCACACGAGGGGCGCAGATTCGCTCAAGGTGGGAGCGATGGCGTAGACGGATGGGAGAGGCCGCACCATGTCCTGGCCATCGCGATTCCAGCCGAAGCCGCGCGCTCGATGTGCGCTAAACTGGCTGCACGAGGTTGCAGGAGAGAAGGGTGCGCGTTAGGAGGCGAGGCGGGGGCGATGGCTCAACCACCCGCATGAGCGGGCCCACCTGCCCTACTCTAGCCCTGCCAGCACCGACCGCAGGCAGGCAGGCAGGCAGGCAGGCAGGCAGGCGCATCATCTTCACCCGATCGACCGAGGACCAACCGCGGCGACGGGCGACGACAGACGACGACGACGACGGCAGCGACCACCGACCGACGTCTCGGCGTCCTTGCCGCTAGCGCTGCCTTTCCATGCTCTCTTTCTTCACAGATCTCTCTCTTTGGCGGCCGGCGCGCTTGGTCAGACGCCACCGAGTCGCGGCCCTGGTCGACCCAACGGCGCGGAGGGGCAGGCGGGAGGGCGGGCGAGACTCGGCCCGTGGCTGCGGTGGTGGACCAGTCAAGCAAGGTGGCTTTATGCCGATGACGTTTACAGGGCGTGGCCAAGGTTGGGCGGTAGCGCGAGGGCTTGAAACCACGGGCAGGTCCAATTCAAGAGGGTGCGTCAAGCCGTCTTTGCTCTGGCGGCTACACGCGCGGCCCGAAATACAAATCCCAGCCAAGCTGTGCATGGCCACGCATGAAACACTAGTGACAACAAAAATAATGACGGCAAGACAAGCCAGCACAGGCGGGCCAGGTCTGGCTGGCTGGCGCAGCCTGGCGCTGCTGCCGAGTGTAGCGGCGTCACGGCCTAATGGCTTGCCTGAGGCCAGACGGCCCCTCCCGCGCCTGGCCTCTCCTCTCAGTAGTCTGGCAAGTGGCTTGCCCGCCCCCTGCCTGCTGCCTGCTGCCTCGCCCCCTCTCGCTCTCCCTCTCGCTCGCGCCCTTGCCCATTCGCCATCGGCTTGCTGCAACCATCAGCCCTCGCTCCCCCTTTCCTCCCCTTGATCGCCACCCGACGCTTCGCCGCTCGTCGTCACCCGCACCTCCTTTCCCATCCGACGTCCTATCCGTCCTCGGTGCTCGACAGCTTGCTTGACGCCGTCCATCTCCACAACCCAAGCCACTCCTACCTGCTCTCCTTTGCCCTACCCACCGACCCGCCCGCCAGCGATCTCGACGTGCTTGCGCCAATCGACATCCGCCTCGATCCTCATCGCCGTCACGACCACCTCCTCCAAGACGACCGACGCGCGCGTACTTGCCACTACCGTGCTGCGCCGCACGTCATCTTTGCTGTCCCCACTGTCGACGACGCTGCTGCTGCTGCCGCCGCCTTTCGCCCAGACACGACCTGCACCATCGAGATCCTGCACACCCTCTCCTGCGCCTCTTGGTCCCGCCCAATCGTCGACGGGCGATAAAGCACCACTCGGCAGGGTACCTTCGACTCTCCGGCCGGTCCTTGCATCGCCAGCCGACAACAGCTCAAAGGCTCAAGTCTGGCGAGCACCTCCCGCGGGTCATAGTGCCTGCCGCTTCCGCGCTTCGCCCTCGCTTCATCTCCGGATCTCTCATTGTTGAGGGGCGGCCCTACAGCCCGGTTCTGCTCCCTTGACGATTTCAACGCCGCCGCCGCTATTCCTGCCTTGAGCACCAGCGGCTCTATTGGTGGTCGCGCCGTTGGCTTTCGACCTCTCCCACAACCCATCGTCAACCCGCACAGAGACCTTGCCGCACCACCCTCGTCTACAGCGATGTACGCCACCGCCACGCTGCATCGATCGTTTCTTCTCTGACACGCCCCGTTCGAGAGCCAGTCAGAAACCCGAGCTGCCCCATTCCCAACGCAACCAGCAGCTACATCCCCATCTTGCCAGTCTCGGTTCTCCCATCGCTCAAATCTCGCATCGATATACCCAGTCGCATTGCCCGACACGACAAGAAGCGCCCGTTCCTGCCCTCGCATCGGACGATAAGCGTCCCACCTCCGATCTCCGTTTCCGGTAATCGATCTACGAGCACCCTGTCGCCCGCTCCGTCAAGATCGACTTGTGAGTAGCATTCGCGCTGCGTGAAGCTACCGTAGAGACCCGTCCGCGGATAGGACGCTGATTCGACTGGGGGCCTCTTCTTGCTCCGACTAGAACCTTTGCAGCGCAGACCCAACCGAGTCCGCAGACATGCCGAGCAGCCTCGGCAGCCAGGACTCGCACCTCTCCGGCTCCGACCTGGTCCCATCCCTCTCCAAGACAGACTCTTCCAGATCGTCTCAGTCGACGCCGTCGACTTCTGCCGAGTGGACGTTCGAGGACGCGGCATATTCGGATCGCAAGCCGTCTATCCAAACTGCCAACCTCGGCGACGGCTACGTGGGCGCCGAGTCAGATACCAGCGGCATCGTTCGACCCGAGCCACTGCGAGCATTCCGTTCCGATTTGGCCGTGGCCGACCGGATCGCCGCTGGTGACGTCGAGCGACACAGCATGGCCGCTGTTGGCCGCAGCGCACCGGGCATTCCCGAGCCAGCGAGCAGACTCCGCACCGAGCACCCCTCTCAGCATCAGCAGCATCTCCACCATCCGCAGTCGTATCCGCTGAGGCATCAGCGCGTCGAGCAGCCCAACTCCGACATGGAGGGACACCACCAGGCGGCCAACTACGCGTCGCTCGCGGCGATCGCGGGCACCCTCCCACCGTCGGGGCTGCCGACGCACGGCGTTCCCGTCGCCGACGAGGCTGAAGAGGGATGGTCGTCGCTCAACGACCCGGCCTACGCCGGCGCCGTGCGCTTGCTCACCGAAAACCTCCTCTCCGCCGAGTCCGCACCGCGGCTGTCGACGTCCTCGATGGACAGCACGGTGACCAGCGAGCTCCACACGCCGGATAATTATCACCAGCCTTGGAACATGATCGAGGCCGGCTTCAAGGCCGAAAACGCCAAAGGCGGCCAGTCGCTGCCCATCGACGCGTCTGTCGACGGCGGCCTGCAGATCGGCGGCCTGGATCGACCGATCAAGGCGGGCGGCGATGCCTCTTTGTCGCCGGCGGGTGCCGAGAGGAGCAACACGCTCAAGCGACCCACGCAGTTGTCGAGGCTGTCATCGAACGCCACCAACGTCACTCTGAAGCCGTCTCCGCCGGCGTCATCGTCTTCATCTTCTCCTGCGGCCAACATGTCGACGACATCGGCAGATGCCGCCCAAGTCCCGGACGTAGCCCGCATGTGCGTCAGCCAAGACGCAGCCTCCCGTCGCTCCGGGGCCGATGCCGCTCCCGTGGGCCGGCGCTCGCCGGCAGCAGACGCGATGACCCTCGGCGAGCACGAAGCTCGCATGCACGCCGGTACCTCGAGCAGGACAGTCCTTGCCAGCCCGGACTCTTGGCGTTCGCTCCTCCCCGAGCACGACCCCTTCTTTGTGCCAGAGAGTTCCTTTTCGCCGCAGTCTGAGCACCGCTTCAGCTTCTCGAGTAGCCAGGCGCCGCATGCGCCGAACTCCCCTCGACACATCGCCGACGAGGCGGGCTCGTTCCGCGGTCCATCGCTCGACTCGAGCGGCGAGCACACCTTTGCCTCGTCGTTCAATGGCGCTCGGGCCTCGTTCAGCAGCGCCGTGAGCCACCAGTCTGGCTCTTCCTCGCTGAGTGGGCTCACCGCAGACACCGACAGCTGGCGAAGCTTTCTGCCGGATTCGGACCGTTTCTCGTTGCGCAACGCTCCGTCGCCACGGCTCAGCGCCTCTGGCGCGCTTCTCAGCCCGCAGCCGAGCGCGGTGGCACCCGCAGACGGGGGACAGTTGGAGCCGCCCATCATTTTGGACGCCTCCGGTCATCGGGCCGCATTCCTTGCCCTTCGCGGCATCGCCGGCCAGGAGCTCGCGCAGCAGGTCAAGGACTCGTCGTCGCGACGCCATGCGAGCTTCTCTAGCTACGAGCCGCCGAACGCTGCAGGAGCTTCGAGGCCGGCGATGGCATCCACCCGTCGGCCGACGGTGGTCGAGTCACACAACGGCAAGCGGGAGGGCGCGTCGACGACCCACGCGCGGCCCAACATCATTGCGACGAAGCGGGTATCATCGCCCCTGTCACACTCCGAAGGCCACACGCACAAGCTCGCCTGGACCAGCTCGTCGGCTTCGGTCGACTTTGACGACCTTGAAGATCGTGAGAGCTGGCCGACAAGCCGGGGCAGGTGCAAGCAAGGCGCAGCCAGCCGCAACGATGGCCCTGTGCGAAAGAGCCCTGTTTCTGTCGAGCCGACTTCGCCCAGCAGCGTCGCCCTGGACGGGCCTCGCGTCGGCCCGGATGGGGCAGGCGGCCAGGTCGACGAGACATCGAGCAGCGTTCTGCAGGCCACTCCCGACGGACTGGTGGCTACGACGACGACCAAGACGACGCGGACCACGACGGTGACGAAGCTGATCGCGCCGACCGTCGATGTCGAGGGCGCCCAGGGGCCGTCGGATGATGCAAAATCGAACAAGAGCTCGATGGAGCCGCCCGAGTCGCGCAAGGCGGATGCCGTCCCGGACACGACAATGGTGGACTCGAGACGCTCGACGTCGTGCAGCATCTCGGCGCCACTCAGCCCGCCGTCGCTGCCGTTCCTCGACAGCCGGCCCGCTCCCCCCGAGACGGAGCTCATGGTCGAGACTGGGCCGACGCAGTATACGCTCATCACGCACCTGCCCGGCTTCTCGATCGACTGCATCACGCTCGCCACCAAGCAGCACAAGAACCACCGCACCCTGCACCTGGTGGCCGACAAGTTCGATGACGAGGACGGCGGGCACTTTGAGAGGCGGGTGACGTTCCCTGAGGGCGAGTGCGACCTGGTCGGTGTGCGCGCCGAGTTTGATGGGACGACGCTGCGCATCTTTGTGCCGCGCAAGGATGCCCGCGGCCGTGGCTTTAGCTCCGCCAGCAGCGCCACCTTCTAACGCCCGAACCGCCATCGCGCCGCCCGCACAGCAGAGCCTGCGGGTGGCCGACGCCAATCATTGCGCCCGCCTCCCGGTTCCCTGCGCCTGGCGCGAACCAACGGCACCTTCGCAGGACTGCTCCTTCCCGACGCACACTCTTGGGCCTTCTCGCTCGCCCGATCTCGGGCTGCGGGTCTCCACGGGTCCCTCGCCGATCCAATCATACTGCGCAGAACCTTGACTACTCTAGCATGCATACATACCATCTCTCGCCGACTCTACCACAAGAAGCATTGTTTCCTCCATTTCCGACCTCTCGAAGCAGCGGCATCGCCATCTCGCTCACATCTTTGGAAGACTTGCGCTTCTATTGTCGCCGTTGGCACGTCGCTCCAGCTCTTCGAGCCCGTCAGCGAGCTCCGGTGCAGGTGGACGGCGGCTCGCCACTTTTCTTCCTCGTCAGCATGACCTCGGACGACGGCTCGGGCCTGCTGCGATGGTCATTCATCACACTCGCCTCTCGCCCTCGGCGGCCAGCGCGTTCAAGCACAGGCAGGCACGGGCAGCCTCCCGTGACCGTGCCCCTATGGTCTCGAGACGGACCGGGGCAGAAGAACGGACGGGCCGCCGACCTGTGGTGCTTTGAGGCGCGAGCTCGGCCATGCTTGTCTCGCCGCCCGACCAGACGGGCTGGTGGTGGTGGCGCGTGGCTTTTCTTGCGCCTTTGCTCCCCCTGGCCTCCCTCTGCCGTGGTCGTCGACGATCTGATCACGCATCCACGCAGTCCCCTGTACACTACCCTACTACATCCTCGCTCTCCAGCTCGGAATCCGAAGTCGAGCCTACCGCCGCCGATTTCACCTTTCTCTTGTGCTTGCTGCACGGTACGCCATGATCCAGGCAGAGGGTTGTCTCTGTTAGCCTTGGGGGCCGTCGCAGTGATTGCAGGGTCGCTGCCTGACTTGACCTGCCAACTTGGGGCTGCAGCTGCTTACCCTTGCTTGCTTGCTGTCTATCCGCGCGGCTGGCTGCCGATTGATGCAGGCTGACCCCGGGTAATCACATCACTCCGCAGCTTTGACTACATACTGGGCGGCTGGCCCTTGGTTGAGATAGAGCGAGGGGATCTGTTTGGCTTGTCACACGCTCCCTGCCTGGGCGCAGCGCCCTCAGGCCCCGTGTGGAGAGGCCCGAGCAACCAGCGAGCAAGCAAGCACAAGCAAACGCACGCCGGCCAACAACGGGCGAGACCCCAGCGCCGCTTTGGCCACCACCACCGCTACCATCATCACAGCACCACCAACCTCGTTTTCCCGCCCCAGGCGTCTCATTCTTCCAGACCGCTTCCTCCCGTTTGCCTCCTACCCTCGGCCCGGTTCTCTCTGGTCGCGCTTCGAAGGCCACCCCGCAACAGCATCGCCAACCTCGTCTCGACTGGTCGCAACCTTCCAAACACAAACATCAGGCCGACCTCGATCGCAGTCGAGCACCCGGCATCTGTGCAGCGTGGCCACCGAGACGCATCTCCTCTCATCCCCGCAGCAACCCATCTCGCGCGCTGGCGGACGTCGATGGGGTGCCGCTAACGCACCCCGCCATTCCCGGCTCCATCCCTCTGGACCTCGCCTGCGCCCTCTTGGCTCGTCTAGCCACCTCGCGTGCCAGTCCGCAGCCAGAACAGCTACACCTTCTCCTCTCCCAAGCAACGCCACGTAACGTCACGGCCCGCACCGAACCGGACGGAACGTGGCCAACGACCGAGGAGCCTGCGCTAGCTCGCCATCGCCACACACTACCGCTGCCCGGATGACAGCCTGAGTGGAAAGAAACTGCCCTTCCGCAACCCTGCCCGGCCGTCCAGCCTGGATTCTGCTGCACATCCAGCCCCCGGCCGAGCCATGGATCCCTTCGCCACCTATGCACACGTCGCCACCCCGCAGCAGTTCTGGGCCGAGCTCGATGAGCTTCTAGACCAGCCGTCGGCAGCTACGGGCACCGTCGCCCTTTCGGAAGACCAGAAGAGGGACCACGCCGCTGCCGTCCTGCAGAGCTTCCTCGCCCTCTGCGACCACTGCTGGGACCAGAACCTCAGCAGCGCCTACAACCAAGACTACGCCATCCAGCGCCTCTTTGATTCTGCCGTCCTTCGCGACGATGCCGACGCCCCTTCGCCCTCCGCATCGCTGCCCATGCGCCACTACCTCGTCGAAAAGGCGGTCAAGATCGTTCAGACCGCCACCTCGATTCCCGTCATCCTCCTCTCCTACGAGATCGTCCTGCAGTACGGCGAGAGCTATCCGGAGACGTACAAGGTGCTCCAGGCCTCGGCAACCTCGGTGTCGTTTGCCGGCATCCGTGCCTTTCTGCACCGCCTCGTCCATCAGATCTGGGCCGGCTCCTACGCCGCTCAGGCCGAAGCCAAGATCGGCCCCTCGCACGACGATGGCCCCGTCGGCTGGCCCGGCGCAGATTGGAGCGATGAGCGCGACGGCGATGGACGGCCGCAGCCGCAGCTCTCTACCGCGGTGATGAGGGGTAAGGTCGGTCCAGCAGCCTCTACGTCGGCATCAAAGCTGCTCGCCCAGCAGATCAGCCTGCGCGACAAGGCTGTCCAGATGCTCTACGAGGTCTGCCGGGTGCAGAAGCTCGAGCCGTCGCACCTCAAGGCGTTCGACGAGCGCTTCATCCACCACCTCTTTGACCTCGTCGAAGACACTCGGCTCCACCACGACGAGCGCTTCAACTACCAGCTGATCAAACTCATCGCGTCGATCAACGAGCAGTACATGGTCTCGGGCATCGCCATCGCCGCCGCTGCCGTCGCCCCTCTCTCGGGTCCCGGCCCAAATGCCGCTGCCGACGCGGGTGGTGGATCTGCGCCGCCGACGGGGATGCGGCCAGTCAACCTGGTCATCGACGTCCTCAAGTCGCGGCTCAACGCCTCCAAGACGTTTGGCGAGAACCTCATCTTCATGCTCAACCGCGCCTCGAGCTCGAACAAGGAAGACCTCTGCATGCAGCTGCTGGTGCTCAAGCTCCTCTACCTCCTCTTTACCACAAAGGAGACGGCGTGCTACTTTTACACCAACGACCTCAAGGTGCTCGTCGACATCTTTATCCGCGAGCTGGCCGACCTGCCCGACGAGAGCGAGTCGCTGAGGCACACCTACCTCCGTGTCCTCCATCCGCTCCTGACCAACACCCAGCTCTGCACCTACCCATACAAGCGCCCGCAGATCCGCAGGCTGCTCGTCGGCCTCATCTCGCACGGCCACTTCAAGGATGTCAGCGCCACGACGCGGCGGCTGGTCGAGAGGTGCCTGAGGGCAGAGTGGTGCGTCGAGCTCGACAACCTCGATGGCACATCGAGCATCGCCACCGTGGCGCCCATCGGCGGCGGCGAGACAAAGGAGAAGAAGATGGAGACCGGCGTCACGACCGAGGGCCTGCCCATGCTGAGCACCAAGATCGAGGCCACAAAGGCGGACGACGCCACCGCAGTCAAGATTGCCCACGCCCGCGACGAGTCGGAGCCGCAGCTGCCTCGTGACAGCAGCTCTGTGACTTCTCCGGTCTCGCCAGAGGATCCCAATCCTCCCGCCAGCAGCGCGCGGTCGGCCTCGCTGGCAGTGCCAGGGCAGATCCGGTCGCGCAGCAAGCGCGTCCTGTCCCTCTCGCATCCCAAGCCGAGCCTGGACTCGACCGACGATGCAGGAATGCAGCGGCTCCATCCCGAGGCATCGCGCCGGGTCGTGTCGGCCAAATCAGCGCCGCCGACGCCGCCTCGCATCGACTCCCCAGATTTCGCGGGCGATGACGACGACGGTTCCGAAGCCATGTCGGCCTCGTCGTCGTGGCACGCTCACATGGCCGACGTGCCTTCGAGGGGAGGAAAGCGGACGCTGTCGTCCTCGTCGTCCAACCCTGCCGCTGGCGACACGGCCCCGTCGACGCACCATCCCTACCTGCATCATTCCAGCGTTGAGACCATCGGCCACCCTCCCCGCATCGGATCGCCGCTCTCTTCGGACGCGACGTCCGAGCTCCTCCGAGCCAGTTTGGGACAGCGGATGGATGAGGACGCGGGGTCTGTGCCGCTCACGCATGCAGCCCATGCGGATGCAAGGTCGTCGATCGGCCGCGGACTGCCCAGCCTGCACATCCGAACGGCGTCCAACGGCGATCGGGAAGGCTCGGACCTCACGGTACGCAACGGCGAGTCGTTGGCCAGCAGCAACGCGAGAAGGCGGACGGATTCACGCAGCTCGTCAATGGAGCAGTCGGATGGGTCTCAGAGTCACACGGGCTCTCCCCACCTTGCCAGTTCTCCAGCCTCGCTAGGACCGCCGCAGCGACGGCGGCCGCCAGAGCCGCCTTCCTCGAGCGGTGCGGCGACGGATCAACAGGCCCGGCGAGCGCTGCAGCCGTCTTCGTCCGATCCGAGCGCCATGGTCGGCCGCGCTGCCTCACCGGCGCTAGGCGCGGCGTCGGGCCGGGGTCACCATAGCTACGAGCCCCAGCGCGCAAGCTCAGACGGCCTCGACGAGCATGACGGTGCGGCGAGCCGCTTCCTGTCGCCGCCGCACGAGGCCACGTTAATGTCTTCGACCTCGTCGTCGGCCAGCTCGGCATCGACGCAGCACCAGCATCGCCGTCGACCGCCGCCACCACCGCCGGACCGTGCGATGAAACCGGGCGTCCGCTCGTTTACCGCCACGCCAAGTCGCAACGGCACGCCGGACAGCGTGTCGTCGTCGTCGCAGGCCGATTATGGCCGATCCAGGGAGGGAGAGACGGGCGACGAGAGGCGCGACTACCCCACGCCAGCGCAGCGGGAGCGCGTACAGCACCTGCGCGTCGCCACTGAGCCTGGTCCGTCGTCGCGCGGCGGAGCGAGGCTGGGTCGGGAGGAGGAGGCGGACCTCGACGATGAACTGCTCCAGGAGCGGCACAATCAGCTCGTCCGACAGATGGCGGCCGCGCGTATAGCCTAGCCTGACCTCGTCCGGCGGCGGGGCAGGACGCCGTGTCGAGAAACGCAGATCATTTTTTAAGTCGCTACCGGTCCATCCGACCGCGGATCGACACCGCATCACCCTGCCTGCCGGCAGATGGCATCGTTCGCGGTGTCGAGGGCGGACAGCGGCTTCCGCGCCATCCTGACCTTAGAAGCGGGAGAGGTCGCGGCCGAAGAGGAAATTGAGGAACCAGGTAAAGGGCACCGCCAGCCGGTTCCTCCACGTCATGCTGACCGGCGAGTCGGAAGGAGACGGGGGAGGATGGAAAAGGCGAGGAAGGCATGCTCTCGGGCTTGAGCTCCAGCCTTGGGTTATGCCAGGACGTGATCGGGTACTCACCTCATGAGGGTGTAGGCGCCCCTCCACCCGACCCAAGCGAGGAACCCGGCCTCTTTGGCATTGGGCAGTTCAATCAGCGCCCTCGCTCCGCCAATGCTGGCCATGGCGCCGCGATTCGAGTACCGGAACGGCTGCACCTTGGCCGCGGCCGCGCCCGCGTCCTGGCCATCGCCGCCCGTGTTGAGCAGCTCGAGTTCGGCCGGATGGTTAAAGAGGCGGGCGAGGTAGCGCGCCTTTTGGCTCGCCACCTGCGCCGTGGCGGGCAAGAGGTTGTCCTTGATAATGGCGCAGTCGCCCATGGCGAACACCTCTTTCCTCACTCGTCCGCTGCCCCCTCCCTCGCCCTCGGCCTCGAGAACGCGAAGCCAAGGATCGGTGAGGATAGATTGGGTCTTGGCATCCTTGGCCACACCTTGGATCTGTTCCGTCAACGGCGTCGCCTTGATGCCCGTCGACCAGACCAACAGGCCAAACGGCAGCTCGACGTCCGCCTTTCCCTCGCCCCCACCCTCACCCTCGCCGCCGCCGGCGATGATGAGCTTGTTTTGCTCGACGCGAAGGATCTTCTGCTTGAGCCGGATATCGATCCCGTCTCGGTCAAACTTGCGCCGCGCGTACTCGGACAGGGACTTGTCGAACGACGTCAGGATGCCCGGTCCCGCATCGAGGAGGCGGATCGAGATGAGCGGGTGCAGGTCCGGGAAGAGCCGCTTCACTTCGGCCTGGACCTGGGTCAGTCGATCGACCGATCGGGTCGCGGTAGGAAGGCAGACAGGCAGCCAGGGCATCATCACGGGCGGTGTTCAGCCAAGCCATCTCTCCCAGCCGCGCGTCGGGCAAGTCGCCGCGATGCACTCACCAAGTCGTGCAGCTCGGCCGCCCATTCCGAGCCAGTGGGTCCGCCGCCGACGACGACAAAGTTCAGCATCTCCCTCCTCTCGTCTTCGGTGCGACACGGCATAGCGGCCTGTTCGAGCAGCTCGACGATCCTCCACCGAATTGCGCGGGCGTCCTTTGCATCCTTGAGAAAGTATCCGTGCTCCTTGACGCCGGGTGTGCCGAACGTCTGGTTGTAGGATCCGACCGAGATGACGAGCTTGTCGTAGTCGATCGTATACTCGTCCGAGAACGGTCGCGGGGCCGGCGGATCGGTCGAGGGCGAGATGGGCGTGTGGTTCGAGTCGGGCGACGAGGCGCGCGAAAAGGGGTCCTCCTTGTGCACCGTGATGCCCTGCGCTGGGGTGAGCGTCAGGCGGCGGTTGGCAAAGTCGATCGACTCGCACCAGGCGTGGTGCAGCGTGCAGTCGGCTTGGGAGCGGACCGGCTCGATGACGTTGCGGAACTGGCATGGCGAAGCCGATGAGGTGTGTAATCGGCATGGGCAAGGTGTCAGTCGAGTGCAGCGAGGCCACCTGGCCCGCGGATGGCCGCGAGGAGTGGACCACTCACGTCGAGCGTCCCGACCGATGCCTGGGCCAGGAGGGGCGTAAAGGAGAAGTAGGCTGCGAGGGGCCGAGGAGGGCGTCGATGCGGGTGATCAGCGACTGCGATCGTCTCGAAGCCTATGGCACCCGGGCGCAGGCGAGGGTGCACTCACTATTGGGCGAGACGAGCGTGAGATCGTATTTGCTCTGTTTCCGCGAACGAGGCGAAAGGTGGTCAGCACGCCTGTGTCCAAGCTGCAGCCCCACCTTTGATTCGACGACAACCGCTACTCACCCTGTCGAGCTTCTTGAGAAAGGTGAAGCCGCCCCACCCGCTGCCGAGGACGACGAGACGCTCCCTCCCTCCTCCCTGCGACGAACCCTTTGACGCGGGCGCAATGGACTGTGCGGAAGAGGCGAGACGTCGTTGCTGCGCCGCAGAGGCGGCATGGAAGAGCGGACGAGGTGCCGCCGTGGCTGCGGTGAGGGATGCTCGACTGGGGCGGAGCGTGGCCATCGTGGACGCCGTCGAGGAAGGGGAGCTACCACGGGGCAAGGGGTGTTAGGCCGACTATGGAGGAGGTGGTGGTGGTGGTGGTCAGGGAGCGAGCATGGCGACGAGCGAGGCTAGGGAGAGCCGCAAAGCGAGGCTTTGGCCAGTCGACACCGCAAGACGCTCCATGACTCCGCCCGGCGAGGAGAGGGCAATCGTCGGTCGTCGTCGTCGGTCTTGCTGGCTGGCTGGCTGGCGGTCGGGTTGGCTTCCAGCTGATGACTGAAAGGTGCAGCCGAACCCGCCTAGCCAGGCGAGAGCCATGCAGGGTCCAGCGGCCATCAAAAGCGCGCCCCAGGCTGCTGCAGCCCGCTGGCCGAGCTAGACGAGCCCGTTCCGATGTTAAAGACGCCGCGACGACTCGAGCGGCTCGATGCCTCTCCTACCACGTCGCATCTATCGATTTATCCCCCCCTCGTCCCTGGCCCTCGATTTGGCTCCTCGTACGGTCATCAATGGCGTTTCGTGCGTACGTCGTGGGCCCGGATGGGGCGTAATACATGGTCAATCCACATCTTCGTCTGGCGGCTCGCAAAGCAGAGATACCGCCAAGGCTCTTCCATCTATCGCTAGAGCGCCTTCTTCTCCTCGAGCTCAATCTCCTCGCCGCCTGCCCCGGTGCTCGTGGCGTTGCGACTGCTGCTGCTGCCGCTGCCGTACCTCTCGTCGAGCATCTGCGGCCGCGGCAGCGGTTGGCTAAAGTGGCTGCGCAGCTGCTCGTCGGCCAGGCGGTGCACCTCGCGCCCGACGGCCTTTGTGACGCTCGTCAGCGGGCCGCCCAGGTTGAGCTTCCACACCACGTAGGCGCTCGCCAGGCATACCAGCAGGAATGCAAAGTAGACCGGCGACCGCAGCACCGCCATCATCTCGTTCCACCCCAGCACGACCATGACGCCGTACATCCACAGCGGCACCTGCGCGATGCTCGACACCGTCGACCGCTTGGCCTCGACGTACAGCGCGTCGGCCTCCTTGCGGAACCGCGTGCCGATCTCGGCCTTGCGCGCCTCGGAAAAGACGACGAGCGTAGAGGGGAAGTCGAACTCCTCCTCCTCGCCCCGGTCGACGGCGGCCTGCGATGCCGGGTCGTCCGAGGTAGACGGAAGCGAGACGGCCAGCGAGTCGTCACGAGGCTCGATCTTGGAGTATAGCGGGATCATCGCCAGCGTCTGGCGGGGTCCGAGTCGAGGGCGTTCCGGGCGGTGATGGAAAGTTCAGCACGTCAGCGAATGCGAAGCGACTCTGCCTCGCTCACGAACCCAAAGCCCCACGGCTCGCCATCCCGCCTACTCACCTCGTCTCTCGCCTTCTGGTAGGCGCCGTCGATGTCGTCCTCGGGCTTCCACACGCGGGGCACGCCGTTCTCGTCGTAGCGGAAGCGGTCCTCGAACGTGTTGCGCAGCTTGGCCGCGAGCACCGTGTCGGCCGTCTGCTCGTCGACCTTGGCCCGCAGCGAGATCCACGACTTTCTCCGCAGGGCGATGAGCGCGGCGGTGTTCTCGTCGTCGGTGCAGTTGAAGCTCTTGGCCTTGCGCAGGTACGTCGACTCCGCCTGCTGCAGCACGGCGCGGAAAGTCTCGAGCACGGCGTCCCACATGGTCTCGCTCGGCTTGTTGAGCGCCAGCTCCACCGGCTCGGCCAGGCCCTTTTTGACGTTGCGCTCGATCTGGGCCACCATCTTCTTGGTCTCCTCGACCCGCATCGTGTCGGCGATGCTCTGGATCTCCTCCTCGAGCTGCGCCTCCTCCTCGCTCACCGTCCAGTCCGTGTCCGCCAGCAGCACCAGCTTGGCCGCGGCACTGAACTTGGCCTGCGCCCGCTCCTTTTCGCTGCCGACCACCTCGCCAAAGTCGTAGTTGCTCTCGTTGCGCATCCGCTCGAGGACGTTGCTCTTGAACGCCGCCAGGACGTGCTTGTGCAGGTTCTTGAGCTGGCCGAGGAAGAAGGGCGAAAGCGAGGCGTTGAGCTTCTCGAGCAAGTCGGTCCGCTTCCGCCTGTACACCTCCTGATGGTATCGCCCGGCATCCTTGTCAAATTTGGCCAGCGCGGTGCCCCGGTGGAGCGCCATGTCGGCGCCCAGCGTCTCGAGCACCGTCCCGGACTCGACGTGCCGGCGGAAAGCCTTGATCTCGCCGGCAAAGGTGGCAAACGCGGCGTTGGCGATCTCGTCGCACCGGAACTGGGCCAGCAGCTCCTGCTGCGTCGGGAGGTCCAGGTCCTTGTTGGTCATGACCTGCTCCCAGATGCTGCTGAGGTAGTGCGGCAGGCCGTCGGCAGGGATGCGCTTGTGGTACTCGGTGCGGAAGACAAAGTTGGGGTCCTTTGGGTCGACGAAGCGGGTGCGCAGGCGGTTGACGGCCTTGTCAAACTCGGCGGGCAAGAGGACCTTGTGCGGCAGAGCCGTAAACATGAAGTCGAAAAAGTCCGAGATCTGGCTCGCCTCGAGGCCGTCGGGCTTGGAGAGCGAGTCCCAGATCTTGTTGAGGTCGCTGACGATGGTGGCCTGCAGGTTCTCGAGGGGCGTGGTGCCGACGTGGTCGCGGATGACAAAGAGGAGGAGCGTCTTGTCCTTTGCGCCGTGGCTCTTTGCCTTGCCCGCCTGGAAGAGGCCGAGGTTGACCTCGAAGACGGTCTTGAGCAGGCCCATGTTGGCGCCCTGGTAAAGGCCGACCTGATGCTCCCACATGTTGACGATAAGGACCTCTGCCGACGCCATCGAGAAGAGGGCGGACTTGCGCTCAAAGTCCTGGTCTTCGCCACGCTCGCGGCCGTCGGTGCCCTCGACGTCCATGACGAGGACGTTCATCTTGAGGCCGCGGCACATCCAGATTCCCTTTGTAGTCTGCCTGCGCTGCTTCTCGTCCATGACGTCGAAGCTGGTGCCAAAAAGCTTGTTGAGCAGCGTCGACTTGCCCGTCGACTGGGAGCCGAGCACGGCGCAGAGGTCGTAGCCGAAGCCGGCGTCCTCGAGGCCCCAGTCGCGCAGCTTGGGCGCGAATTGGTCATCGTTGAAGCGCTGTTCTTCGTCGACGAGCTGCATCCGGTCCGCTTTCTGCTCGGTGGTCGCCGCCGCGGCGCCCGAGAGCGTCGAGAGGCCATTGGTGGGGCCGGCTGATGCGGATGTTGCGGCGGCCGAGATGGGCTGGGCGGAGAGGGCCTGTACCTGCTCCTGATGAGCCTGTTCGAGCTCCTGCTGCTGCTGTGCCACTATGGCCGTGGCGTTATCAATGTTGAGCTCCATAATGGGGGCCGAGCGTCGCTAGACGCGAGAGGTCAGGCGATGCAGAGGGAAGGAGCGATGGAACGACGGATGCGATGCGGGGAGCCGGTCGAGATGGGTATCCTTCCTGTCGTGTCGCGCTGTGTATCGGATGTGGCCAAGTTGGATCCGGTAAGCAAGAGGATGACGCCGGCGAACAGATGGATGGTGGTTCCTCAGCAAGTCGGAAGGTCGGCGAGCTGGCGTGGGCAGGTGACGGCGAGAGGCGGGCAGGATCGACAGCGAGCACTCGATGCAAGGTGCAGGCCGCTGCACAGGCCAGGCCAGGCTGGGCCCAAGCGTCGGGGGCCGGGAGGAGGGAGGTGATTGAAAGAGAGTCAGCCGCACGAGAGACGCAGCCCGTCCACGAGCCGTTTGCCCTTGGTGATCGGGCGAGGGTTGTCTCTGGCAGGCCAGGCCTGGCCTGGCCAAGCCTGCTCCACGCCGCGTGCGGCAGGCGGGTGGGCGGGGCGAAAGCCACCGAACAGAGAGGCTGGCACGGCGCATCGGGGCTGGGGCGTGCGCAGGCCTCGCCTGGCCAGGCAGGCCACGCCTTGCCACGCCAGGCCACGCCTTTTGGCACAGACGGGCCGATTATTATTCTTCTTTTCTTCCGGCTTGAGGGCCGAGCGAGCGAGCGAAGCCCTGCCCAGCCTCGCCAGGCTGCTTTGCCAAGGGCAGAAGGGGACTTCAGAGCAGAGCCAGTCAGGGTGGAGAGGTGACGGAGAGAGAGCAACAGCACACAGAGGCGCAGACAGAGAGAGGGAGACAAAGCCCAGACCAACCTGGCCCTGACAGAGGTCGACTGACCAGCGCCACGCCCTCCTGACGTCGTCACCATCCTCCAACGCGCAACCGTCACCGCCACCACCACCACCACCACCACCACCTTCCCGCCTTCTCCGCCACACCGCCTCACGCAGCGCGAGACGAACTTCTCGCACGCCAGCTACTACTAGCAGCAGCCTCGACCACCTGCACTTCCACCCCACCCCCCCCTTTGACCCAGCGCAGCACGCCCCTGCAGACCATGTCGGCCGCTTCCACATCGGCCCCCGTGCCAGCCACCAACGGCGCAGTAGCACCCGCAGCAGCCTCGTCCTCCTCTTCTGCCGCCGCGTCATCCTCCAAGCCCGCCGTCCAGGCTTCCGAGGTCGGCTGGCTCTTTGTGCCGCAGTACTACACCTTCCTCAACCAGAACCCCGGCCGCCTCCACTGCTTCTATACGAAGAAGTCCACCCTCCTCCACGGCACCGAGCAGGAGACCAGCGAACCGTGCTTTGGCCAGCAGGTGAGTGCCACGCTCGCTCTGGACTGCCAATCAGCCCCCCATTGGCACCAGCTTCGATTGCTGGCCCAACTCTGTAGCCGGCCGGCCAGACCGTGCTGACTCTCAATGCTCCTTTTGCCACGCCGTCATCCCCCATCTGTCTGCTCGCCGCACAGCAAATCCACGACAAGATCACCTCGCTCGGCTTCGAGGATGCCAAGGTTTTCGTCTCCAACGTCGACTCGCAGTCGTCGGCCAGCGGCGGCATCCTGATCCAGGTTTTGGGCGAGATGTCCAACAAGGGCGGCCCGTGGAGGAAGTTTGCCCAGACATTCTTCCTCGCCGAGCAGCCCAACGGCTACTACGTCCTTAACGACATCTTCCGCTACCTTAAGGACGAAGACGAGGTCGAGCAGGAGGCCACCGACGTCGACGAGGCCATCCAGAACGAGATTGACGAGGCCGAGAAGAACGGCACCGAGGTCGTCCACCAGGCCGAGATCAACAACATCGGCCAGCCCGGCGCCACCCCGCACATCCCCAGCGCCAAGAGCATCGAGGCCGCCGCGGGCCCCACGGCCGCCATCGCCGACGCGCCGACCAACGACAGCGTCGCCGCCGTCGACGAGGTCAAGGACGACGAGGCCACCATCGAGGAGGTCAAGCCCCAGGAGGCCGAGGCGCCCGCCCCCACGGCCGAGAGGCCCAAGGTCAACGGCACCGAGGCGACCGAGGCAACCCCGGACCAGGTCGGCGTCGACAAGAAGGTCACCACCGCCACCGCCGAGGAGGTCGCCCCGGCCAAGCCCGCTGGTGTCGCTGCCGCTGAGCAGGAGGCTCCTGCCGCCGCCCCCGCCAAGTCGGACGCCAGTGCGCCCGCGCCCGTCGAGGCTGACAAGCAGGAGGCCGCTGCCGCCGCCCC